CGGACTGGCAACTGATGACGTCACCCTATTCAAAGTGAATGGGGACCTGCACCCCGTAAACACACTTCGTGAAGTCTAAAGATGTAAAATAAACGTGTTATGAATGCATTTTTAACGAGAAATCAATGTTAAATTGTAAGAATACAATAATAACCCTAACCCCCTCAAAAAATCCAACATGGCAGAGAGACGTTCACTCAAGAATCCAACATGGCGGAGAGACGTTCACTCAAAGGGCGTGGTTAACCACCGCCAGTTAGTATGTTTTGATATTGTAAATTCACAACTTATGGCAATTCATACTGCAGACAATTAGTCACCATGTTGTTATTTTTTTCTGGTTGGGCCTTACCGAGTAATGTTTCTTCCTAAAAACTGAATTGATGTTTTGTATGTAATTTAGTTTAGTTAGTTATTTGTAGATCTCCTCAATATTTGTATCTGGCAAAATTATATTTTCCATATTTCTATATCTCACTTTTCAAATCCAACTGCCTGGAATATGTTGGAAACAGATACAGGAAGCATGTTTACTTAATTCAACACGTTTGTTCATGTAATCATTCTGGAGTTAAGTTTCTGGTAAACGAGTGATGAAAGTGTGAAAAGAGCATAAGCTGTATCGCTGCCGTGGCACAGATCTCTAGTCCCTTGCTCCCTCCTCAGTTAAGTCTGCACGAATTGGTTGCAGGTCAGTGCTCATGACCTCTTTTTTCCCGTTTAGCGACATCTCTGACACCTGGCTCGCCGCTCTCTCCCAGCTCCTCATTAATCGCTGCTGATACTAACAGGAAGCGAGTAGCTGGAAAAATGGGCCATTTGGGTGCAACAGTGGATGCTTGAAAGACTATGAAAAGCAATACAATAGCAACACTAATAATATAGAATCCGTTGAGCCATGATTGTATAACAATTTAAAAACTGTAATTGAGGTCAAAAAGTGGCAAATTTCGCCCACCCAGTTAAAGGAAACATTCAAATAAATGTCTATGTTTACAAAAAACGGATACACTGCATTAATTCAGGATTTGTTTTCCAGTCAGGATTATAATGCTGTCAGACAGCAGGAGTAACTGGTTTTAAGGATACTGCCAGAACCTCCTCCTGGCTGCATCTCTGTATCTCAACAAATGGGTACAGACACAGAAGAAGCTCACATGAATGGCCATTTTGTAATGACAGTAGGCGAGAGAAAAGCAGCATGATGTATTTGTTTTCAGAAAGTTAGACGGCTTCTGGATCCCGTCAGAAATCTTGTTTCAGACATCTATTTTGAATCCTTCCATTGTCCAGAATTAGAATACACATGAGTACCCCTTTCCACAAGTATTGTTCTGTACGAAAATAGTGGCGTACAAATCTGTACTATTCTTTCTATTGTTTACCTTGCAATTTGAAAAGCAATTCAAATTGTACAATATACATATAACTATAATATTAATATAAACCTATGATCAAACCACTACCACTTTAAGATGTTTTGTTGCTGTTATATTTCATTTCATTATTGATATGCATGCATTCCAAAATAGTGAAATTGCTGCACAGTTTCCCTTCCATTCAGGGCAGTTCCGCCCCGACACGTACACGCATATGTGCATATATGCACGTGGCACTCGCACCAGCAGACAGACACCCCCCCCCACAACCCCCGTCAGCCGATCCGTTGGCCCGACTACTATCCCCTCACCCCATTCGGCCATAGTGTGCCCCAATTTTCCTGTTAAGATTACATTGTCCTTATAAACCAACATTTCAATCAGGACAGACTCTCCGAATTGACAAACATTTATTACACATGTATATATATTGAAATCTTTGGCGATTGGACTCCATCCTAAACCGGGATAATCAAGGGGCCGTGATGCTGCTTGGCAGAATCCCCCTCTGGAATCCAGGCACTGGTGGTGGTGGTGAAGAAGGGAGTTGATGAAAACCCAAGGACCTGATGGCTGCTGGAGGTGCCTGGGATGGAGGAGGGTCGCATCCGGTTTCGCACTGAAATGACACCTGACAGCAACACAGAAGCCCCTTTTCCACCAAGGCAGAACTGGTGCTAGTTCGGAGCCAGAGCCTAGTTTCAAATCGGTTCTTTGGTTTTTCACCACCAAAGCACCAGCTCCGAACCAGTAAAAGTGGTTCTTAAGTGGCACCATATCATTGCTGGTCTAGAAGTAAGAACCGCTTACGTCAGCGGCTGGGGGCGTGGTTACCGTGACCAACAAGACGAGAGAAACTTTGTGATCCGCCATTTTTCGATAGCAGCTAATCGAGCTAACAACAACGAATAAAGGCGAGCCGCCCGAACATGTTTGATCCGCCGTGTGTTCGATGTCGATGTAGGTCCGCAAAGCCATGAACATCAATAGCAAAGCAACGTCCGCCATTGTTGATGATGTGTTTGTGTTTGGCACCGCCGCGGTAACGTTGCTGGGAAAGATGAGACCTAACTGTGACGTAGGACTTGGCTCTGCGCTAGCTCTTTAGCCTGTGGAAAAGCAAACCGGTTCTTTGGAGGCTCGTCAGTTGAACCAACCCCGAACCGGCTCTAGCTCTGGCTCCGAACCAGCACCTGGTTGTTGTTGGTGGAAAAGGGGTAACAGAGAACCCCTTAAAAGATTTGACAGCAACTATATGATTGGTTTAGAGCCACAGCGCCGCCTCTGTTGGTCGTATACACCTGGGCGCAGCCAATCTCCACTGATTGGATAATTCTGGGAGACCAGCTGAAGCATATATAAATTACGCGTGGCGTGAAGGGAGTCTTCCTTCTAGAACTACCGCTTAAGCTCCATTACCCTTTCCTTTGTGCTCTCCCTCCCCACAGGCTGTGGATGGTGGTTCTATCTGATGGTGGCTGTCCCTGCAGTGGTCCAAACCGTACAACTGTCTTACTACTCGCTTCTCAATATTTGAATTATTTCTGTTACAGGAATTGAATGTATTGTACATCTTTTACACTGTTCATTCTGTACACATGGCATCCATTGTAGTCTGTACATCCCGGGAGAGGGATCCTCCTCTGATGTTGTCCCTAAGGTTTCTTCCCTTTTTTCCTCTGCCGATGTGGGGTTTCAGGAAAGGGAATGTTTGCATGTGTACAGTGAAGAAAACAGTGAAGCCCTCTGAGGCAAATTTGTAATTTGCGATTTTGGGCCATACAAAAGTGAAGATAACCAGACTGGGTTTAACTACAGTATACAGTCAAAAGTTTGGACATACCTTCTCGTTCAATGGTCTTTCTTTCTGTTTTTACTACGTTGTAGATTAATATTGAAGACATCTAAACCAGTGATTCTTAAGAATAGGCCTGCGGCCAAATCAGCGGCCGCGAGCGCCACCTAGATGGATGCAAAAAACGTTCAATTTGTACCCGTTGAAATATTTCAACTGCGCGAACAATTCGCCAGACGCTGTCTTGCAAAAGCCAATCAGCGTTGAGTATGGAGCCAAATCCAGGTTGAGTTTTGTTCATTTGAAAAACAAATGTGAACCTGAAAGTTCAAGTTTTGACTCAGCTCTATATTTTTTGGAATAAAATATTTTTTTTCAATCTTCACTTATATATATTTTTTGATATTCCCTCTATTATATTTTTCGGTTGCAGATATTTGAGGGGCCCCAGGCCACTTTGTGCTTAAAAGGTTGGGCCCCAAGGTGAATAAAGGTTTAAGAACCCCTGATCTAAACTACAAAGGAACACACAAGGAATTATTAACCTCCACAGTCACCCCACCTAAACTCAATTGAGATGGTCAGGGATGAGTTGTATGGCAGCTAACGAGTGCTCAGCACCTCTGGGAAAGACTGTTGGAGAACCATCGAGGTGACTACCAGGCTGATTGAAAGAATGTGTGCAAATCTGTCATCAAAGCAAAAGGTCTAAAATATAAAACAGATTCTGGTTTGTTGGGTATTGTTTGGTTTACCACATACTTCTATATGTATTGCTTCATAGTTTTGATGTCTACAAGAAGAAAAAACCTTTGAATTGGAAGGTGTGTCCAAACTGGTACTGTATTTTTGACATTTGGCTGATTTTAACAAATTTATTTGTGTGATTTGTTTATAAGAAAATGCTATCTTTCTATTAATGAAACAAGTTATTTTTTATAAATATTGTGTCAGACTCAAGTACAGGGACCAGACCACAGAATTAGGTTGAAAAAAAACAAATGGCTAAATGAAGCTTGGGTTCACAAAGACTGAACAAGCATCCACCGGAATTTACCGGCATGGAAAAATTAAAGAGAAAGCAAAGTCTGACAATGATGAAAAACTATAACCAAACGACACAAAAACAGCCTGAAGGAATTGCTAGGGGTAAAACTATTGTGGAGTCCATGAACAAAGATAGCAACATGGAACACATGGTTAACACACACAGGAGGTGCGGGTGAAGCAATCAAAGAGAAGGGCGGACAATCTGTGAGGGATCAGGACTCAGCCGCAGAGGAATGAAACAAAAGACAAATAGTTCTTTTCAGGTTTAGGATCTTTACTGGCAACAAATAAAATACCTCTACTATACAAAACAACTCAAAAGCAGCACTGGCACAAGGAGACTTGACACGCTGGAGAAGAAGAAAACAAAAAGGCCTGGCAACAAAAACAGGAACATAAAAAACCCACTAGGAACACTGCTGGTTTGATGCTGGGGTCGGACGGTGGATAAACTGACATGGATAGAGTGACTGATTAGGACTTAGGTATATGTGGGGTGATGGTTAACTGAATTCAAGTGTGGGGGGAAAAGGGCGGGAAACTGAACAATGACAGGAATAAAGTAAAGTTCTTGTTCTAAAGTGGTTCTTGAGGGTGTCTAAGTGTGTGGTCAAAAGAATAAAACAGTAAGTTACAATAGCTGCCCTTTGTTTGAGTCGTCAAACAACCACACAAACAGGAAACAACCCAGGGCACCAAGGGAAGAGAGCACACAACAAAATAGGCTAGCAAATACCAAATCGATCTTACAGATTTTTTCATTTTTTCCCTTGCAGAAGTATTAATGGATTCAACAACGGCAACAGCAGAACTTGGCTGGACCATCCAACCATCTCAGGGGGTGAGTGGATTAAATCAGGATTCAAGGAAAGCTGTAGAGCAGTGAGGAGTTTTTGATCAACGGCTGGAAACTCTACGAAGGGACAATGACTTTCAGCATCTCAATTAGCCAGTTCAGAGAGACCATTGTCTCAGTGTTTACAGATGTTTACAAAACTAAAAATAATTACAACTTCAAGGTAAATGATACTGTTAGTGGTACAGGCTCTGTAATCAAAAACCTAGGGCAACAACACAAGACTTTTCTATCATTAAAATGAAGCAGCATAAGGAAACAAGAATCAAATTATTATGTTTTAGCAATTCAAGTACTAAAGAATGACTGGCTTCATAGAGTTTCAGCAGTAAAGGTAAACATGTAGCATAGAAGAGATATTTCTGCAGTAAAATGTCCACTGCGATGTTTATATTATGATCAAAGACATTATTAGGTGTTTATTGCCGATGAGTTGATGTGTACGCAGTATGTTACTGTTGGAGCTGCTCAATGCAGCGCTAGTTTTAGCTACTTGATATATCGTATCCTGGTTTAGTCCTCTTTCATAAGGGAGAGAGCTGGAGCTTCTAAGGAGCTGAGGCGGGTCAAATAATGCACCGCTAATTTAAAGCTACCAAGCTAGCTAAGTCTAACAAGCTAGGATGTCGCTAGCCAGCTAACAATAGGCTAATCCTATGGTCGTGTTTCTCCCAGTTAAAGGTTAATGATACTAAATAAGTCAAAGTATACATGCGCTACAATTTCACTCAGTGAAAAAAACTTTACTGAAAAGTTTACTGAACTTATACTTAAGTTCAGTGACTCTAATAATCAGAGTTGACACCAGCTATAGGAACTTTGACGGGACCCACCTTCCCCGCCCTTAATTTTATATATTTTAAACCTTGATACATTAAAAAACGATGAGTTATATAAAAATTCACCCCTCAAACAGTCTTGAAGCTGTATTTGGTGCCAGACAGCTCTGGATAATGTAGCTTGTGGGGCCGACTGTGAGCTTCACAGGGTCCCGTCTTGTCCTTTGAGGTGGTGGCTGTTTTGCTGTCATCAACATTCATATCGAACCATTTAATCAGTTACAAGATCACCAATTAATTTCCAAGAGCATTAAGTTCTTCATAGATCTAGCCTCTTACAAGCTCTCAAAGTGCACCCACTGATTTTGTGTTGTTTTGATTAGAAAACTTAAATTGTAGGTTGATTTGAAATTTTCTCAGTTTTGTGACAACATCATAATAATACTTATACTGTATGCTAATATATAAAAGGTTATTATAACACATATAATATATGAGTTTCCCAGGATAAAGGATATTTTTCACAGACCAGGTAACATTTATATAACGGAAATCTCTAAACCAAATTCTTCACAGCTCTGTGTCTTGGTCCTGTGTTGGACACACCGGCTGGGTCTCATTTACTGTGATGTATTCTCCAATGAACGCATAGGCTGAGTTAAGCGGTCAAAAAGGGAGCGAGATGGTAATCTTTAGGAAGATATGCTTCACCTCTGAAGCATGATACATTCCTGGGTAAGGTAAATAAATAAATAATAAATTAAATTCAAATTGTTAAGCCATGAACTTTTAGCTAAAAGTAATTTGGCAGTTTTAAGGCAGAGTAAATAAATTAACACTGTCAATGGAAACCACAGCAGCAACACCTTTATTAACTTTTTATTTTCCTGTAACCGTAACATACTATAGAAATATGTAGAAGCTTCTCTTTCAGCTTGATGCTGCTTCCTCCTGGCTCCATAAAACAAAACGTAAAGTTAGTTTATAATCACACCACAAAACAAAAGAGGCAAAGCAACCCAGTTCAGTTTCTTTGTGTATTTATTCTGAACATTTGTAACGTTACTGGACTTAGAAATTGATATTTCAGGTTCATAACTTGTCTACTTGAGCTCACTTTTATCCATTTCTGTTCATAATATGAAATTATAATATTCAATAGAAAACCTAAAAAGGTCTTAAACTCAGTAGGATGTTTGTCAGCCTCTAAAGTGTGAAAGTTAAGGCATTAAAGTGACTTTTCAATAATAACTATTGGTTGGATGCGGCACTGCGGCTACCGCTAATGTAAGCTGGTCGGTTGGGGTATTTTTTATAAATATATGTTGGTACATTGATGTTCATAAGAAGCAGTACTGGAGGGGCTTAGGACCCAGCGGGGATTCTGGTGAGGTGGACAGCCTGGGTCAGGGGCCATGTCAATCAAATGACCTGGTACTGCTCTCATGAGCCTCCACCCACATGTTTCTCCAGTCGAACTGTTTCAATGGTGTGCGTCTGTGTGCGATCCGTCTGTCAGAACTCATCAAAACCTCCAGTCCTGTATTCTCCCTCTCTTTCCCCCTCTGACAAACAACCGATTTTTTTGTTTAGGATGGAGTACTTGTTGCCCATTATAACAACTGTTACTGTCAAAGTAATTGTAGACTTTGTATATTTGTTGTAGCTGAATGTTTTGTTTCTTTCTGTCTCCTAGTGGGAAGAAGTTAGCGGTTATGATGAAAACATGAACACTATCCGAACATACCAGGTGTGTAATGTCTTCGATAGCAGTCAGAACAACTGGGTACGGACCAAATACATTCGCCGCCGGGGTGCTCAGCGTATCCATGTCCAGATGAAGTTCTCAGTGCGGGACTGCAGTTCCATACCCAATGTCCCTGGCTCCTGCAAGGAGACATTCAACCTCTATTACTATGAGTCTGACTCGGACACGGCCACTAAATTATCCCCACCCTGGATGGAAAACCCCTGGGTGAAAGTGGACACTATAGCAGCTGATGAGAGCTTCTCTCAGGTGGATCTCGGTGGCCGCATCATGAAGATCAACAGTGAAGTTCGGAGTTTTGGACCTGTTTCGCGCAGTGGCTTCTACCTTGCTTTCCAGGATTATGGCGCCTGCATGTCATTAATTGCCGTCCGAGTCTTCTACAGGAAATGTCCCCGTGTGATCCAGAATGGCGCCGTTTTCCCCGAGACTTTGTCTGGAGCGGAGAGCACCTCTCTGGTGGCAGCCAGAGGGGTGTGTGTTCCCAACGGGGAGGAGGTGGATGTACCCATCAAGCTGTACTGTAACGGGGACGGGGAGTGGATGGTGCCCATCGGGCGATGCATGTGCAAAGCCGGGTACGAGGCGCTAGAGAATGGTACCGTCTGCAGAGGTAAGGAGCCTCTGCTTCACTATATGACTTTTGTGGTATTGATTTCTTGTTAGAGCAGAACATTTCATTATTTCCACTGTAATAAGCACAGCTCGGCCTTTTTAGCCAAACCAGCAGATCAGTTTTAGGAATAGAAATATAAACAGGACAGACAGTCCACTGATCTCAGGAAATATTGGACATGGCAGTAAAAGGCCACTGCATGATTGAAAATGATTTTGCCTTCCCTTAAATCCATGGCCATTGTAAATGTTTGAAATATTTCACTCAAACAAAATTGATGGTGACCAATCCGGATCACCAAAGTCTATTGGAATCATTGTCCCGGGACCATGATCTGTATAATATATCAATAGTTATGACGTCTTTGAGGCAAAACTGAAACAAATCAACTGATAATTGACTGACATTGCCAAGGCAAGCGCCTTGCTGCTACTTTGGCCACAGGGCTGCAACTCTGTTGTTGGTAAGTTGTAGTGTGTCGGTGAGTGCTTTCGGCCACCATGACATAGTAAGTCATTTCTGATGTAAAATCCAGAGCCTCTTTTTATTTGGTTAATACAAGGAGCTCCCATACCACAACATTTGTTCTTTATCCCAAACAAAGAAGATTCCAGAGTTAAAGCACACATTGTTCCATAGAGGGATTCCGAATGCAAAATTGGGGTCGGAAGGTGGATAACCAGACATTGATTGGGTGGCTGATTGGGGCTCACATATATGTGCGGTGATGGGGAACTGAATTCAGATGTGGGGGGAAAAGGGTGGGAAACTAAACAGTGACAGGAAGTAAAGTGGCTCTTGAGGGGTAGGTGTGTGGTCAAAAGAATACAACTTTCACTTTTTACAGTTTGTTCGAGTCGTCACAGTGGAGCACAATATATATTTTTTAAAACATATACTCAGGGAGCCACAGACTCTATTGCAATACTTGACTTAACACTCATTTAAACTACTTATACCTTTTGTTTATTGTTTGTGTAGTTTGGATGTTTAATTCACTCGAAATGAACGTCTCTCTTACCTTATCTGTTGTAAATCTGTTGATTTAGTGTTGATGCATATGAGCATGTCTTCTCTATCAATATCTAGAGGATTAGTTCACTGCTGGAGACTTAAGAGGTAGACATTAGAGGAGAGCTAGAGGCTAGGAGCATTCCCAGCAGAAATCATGTGTACACACTGAACGCTTCAAAGGAGTGTTCAGTAATACTTATTACTTATTGACCTGGATTCCTTGTTGCATTGAGGATGTTTATAGCTTCAATCAGCAGTGTACAGGTTGGTCTGCGGATCTGCTCCTTTTTGTTTTCAATAAGCACTGGTTTTGTCGGGATGCCTTTTTGGTCGACTCATCGACTGGTTCGTATCGTAGTATCTGACGTTACATGGTTCCTCTCCGCTTTCCAGGAAAGCTCTTGTTATTTTTTATTTGTACTTGGTTTGATTTTTATTTGCGTGTCAAATTGAGATGACCACATCCCTACTGTATAACCTACACGACGGCAACAATTATTTAACGTGCATTGACGCAGTTAATAATGGTAGGGACAACGCTGACATACGTTTACTTGCTGTTGCTCGTAAAGCGCCTGTTATAACCAAACAACGCTGGCAGTGGAAATAGCTTTGGTTTTATATTTGATTCAACTAATTTAATGTAAAGGGAAAAATACCTTATTTTAAAGTGTTCGCATAAACAAAGAATGAAAAAACATTACAACAAAACACCATCATGGACATCATCTCATCACATTGTCCTCGTACACTATTTGTCTTTACTTCTGCGACATTGACTAGTGAAAGCCTGCCTGGTGGTCAGACTCTGGCCTTCAGCTCCAGAAAAACAACAACAAAAAACGAAAACAACAAAAACAAAATTAAATCAACCAAAGGTCGGAAGCGGATCAGTGGAATCAGGAGTCTCCCCCCCTCCGTGGTTTCTCCACCTCGACCTCAGACAGCCTCTCCGTCCTCCTGCTTAGGTCTCCCCCGTTCTGCCAGACGGAATCCAGGACCTAACAGTAGCTGGAGTCACTGCATAGCCATGACAGGTCTATCATTAGAAGGCACATGAGAACAAGGGCACAGCCAATGTGATGTCACACATTGGTTTACAGACAATGGGTACCACATACAACCAGAGGAGTCGCCGCCCGATCGACATTGCAGGTTTAAAGTATTACAGCATTGGCTTTACTTTTCGGAAACGGCAGTTGCAGTCGGCTATTAAGATGTCACTTTTTTCATGGAATAATAATACCTGCTTATCGTTTAGAGCGAGGGTCCCCAACCACCACTCGCGGCCCGGTACCAAGTGGTACTACTAGATTCCACAGCTCTCTTGCTTTCTTCTATTTTCTCTTTGCTGCCTTTTGTAGCCCCAGAGTGTCCTCCGCTCCACATGTTCTAACATGACGCATGGTTCCCTGGACAGAGGATACACACTGCATACACAGTCCTGGTGAATGCAGCGTTTCCCCGAAGGTCGTCAGTGCACGTGTCTGTGCGCATACACGGACACGTGCGCGAGTGGACAATTTTTTATTCTTTTTAATCGCACACTTTCTAAGGGGTGGCACTTGGGGGGGGTTGGGGCAGGGGGCTGCCCCCTTTGTTCAATGGTACCACGATCAGCGGACCTCTCCGGGATGCAGAGATCTGGGCTAACATATGTCCTGCGGGGAAAATTGGGAAATGAAAAAGATCTTGCGGAGTACAGTACCTGCCAAAAGTTTGGACACAATTTCTCAGAAAGTGTGTCCAAACTTTATTGTGGTACTGTATTTTTAAATATGACCAATGCTAGTAATGGCTCTGAGTATTGTAGCTAATTTTATCCTCAATCCCACTTTTACTATGTATCATGCATTTTGTTGTTACGCTTTTTGGTCTCATTTCTTTTCTTCGTCCTTCCTTTTTTCCTCGTGCACCTGCACGTCTTCTACTGCTGTATATCTCCCATACAGCATGTGTATCAGGCTTCTTCAAGGCTGCACAAGGAGACCACAAATGTCTGCAGTGCCCCATAAACAGCCGAACCACCAGTGAGGGAGCAACTAACTGTGTCTGTCGCAGCGGATACTCCCGCAGTGACTCTGACCCGTCACAGATGCCCTGTACAAGTATGTATACACAAACTGTTATGTGTACCTGCGGTAAATTGTTTTGTATGGCGCCTTTCTAGTCTTCCAACCACTCACCAACACCAACACTACATGTCATTCATCCATTCATACACTGATGACAGGGGCTACAATTCAAGGTGCCACCTGCCCATCAGGACGGACTGTAGGCACAGCCTTCGGGAGCCCAAGGATACATCAACATGCACTGGACAAGCCTGCATGTCTTTTTTGGCTAAAAATCTGTTTTGCTAGGTCTTGTGTGCCCTCAAGGACAACATGGACCTCTTTATTCCTTATTGGTAACATGGGTTAGTGGGGCACTTCTGCCGCTTGTGGATGGAATTAGTAGTATTACTACAAACAGGTAAAAATGGAATCTTGACACAAAAAACATTTTACCTGCCAAAACTTTTTTCAACTGTTTCACAGATGCATAGAAAACATACGGAAGGTAAAAACCAATATTCTGGCAAGACTTTTTTCACATTTAATTCATAAACACAGAATCGACTACATAAACATCTGACTAAAGAGCAGGATTATCAGGATTTCTAGTATACCAATCATGAGAGATATTGGCACGGATCCTCTCCAGTCTTTTTGTTTAGAGCACCCACCAAAACTTCTTCCAAAATGTTTTGTAAAACAACACCACGTTCTCTTACAGCTGTTCCATCAGCTCCACAAAATGTCATTTCCATTGTGAATGAGACCTCTCTGAGGCTGGAGTGGAGCCCCCCACAGGAAGGTGGAGGCCGAGAAGACGTTGTCTACAACATCATATGTAAAAGCTGCGGCAGTGGGCGTGGCGGCTGCACCCGCTGTGGGGACAACGTGCAGTTTGTCCCTCGTCAGCTGGGACTCACCGACACCAGCGTCCACATAAGCGACCTCCTGGCTCACACACAGTACACCTTTGAAATACAAGCTGTCAATGGGGTGTCCGACCAAAGTCCTTACTCACCACATTACACCTCCGTCAACATCACCACCAACCAGGCTGGTGAGTCCAACCCAACGTCTCACAGGAGTGATTTGACTTCAGTTTAAATGTGTTTCAGGGCTCAGTAGTTTTTCTATAACCTCTAATTAACTTCCCCTGGTTTTCAGCACCATCAGCAGTATCCATCATCCACCAGGTTGGCAGAGCCCCTAACAGCATCACCCTGTCCTGGTCCCAACCTGATCAGCCTAATGGAGTGATTCTGGACTATGAACTGCAGTATTATGAGAAGGTACATCAGTGCTGATGATAAAGAGTTAGTCCATTATTAAGATGGCTCTTAAGAGACATCATGACTCCATTTAACTAAAGAGTCAATCTTACTGAGTCTTAATGACTCAATTATAGTTCAATCCATTTGTCTGATTATTTTAATGCATGTGTTTCAGAACCAGGCAGAGTGGAACTCATCTCTAACACGGAGTCAGACCAACACAGCAGTCATACGAGGCTTGAAGTCTGGAACTATCTACGTCTTCCAAGTTCGGGCTCGGACTGTCGCTGGATTTGGACGCATTAGTGGCAAGATGTACTTCCAAACCATGACTGAAGGTAAGAATGGCAATCAACTATACTGACAAACTAGATTAGCACATCGTGTCCCGTGTGCTTCCTACGCGATGATCTCATCTAGCACTGAACATGAGTCACAGTTCTTGGTTTTCCCTCATTTCAACTGTAGAGGAATATAACTCCAGTATCCAGGAGAAGCTCCCACTCATCATTGGTTCTGCTGCTGCGGGGGTAGTCTTCATCATTGCCATCACTGTCTTCATAATTGTCTGCCGCAGGTAAGCCAGTAACCGGCTGTGCAACAATATAATAATATGTGTTTCCATTTCATTGCCATTAAAAGAATATCACTGTGGGTGTGAAGAGCACGGAGAAGCCTTGTTAAAAGGATCAATGGTTTGATTCCCCGGCTCTGCCAAAACTACATGTTGGTGCACCCTTGGGGCAAGACAGTTAACCCAACATAGCGTAGTGTGACTACAGTGTGCAAATGTTAGTTTCTGATGGGAAGGTGCTACTGTGTATGGTAGCTCCTTACATCAGAAAATGAATTGGCGAATGATGACATGTAGTGTTTAAGAGCTTTGAGTTGATGGAGGGAAAAAGAAAATAGATACACAAGTTAGGGCTGGGCACTATGGCCAAAACTTATCACGGTATTTTGTATGGTTCTTTTATTTTATTCCTAAGTAAACGCATACATTCATTGACAAATCCACCCCATGCCACCTGAAGAGCTGTTCATATCTCGTTGTTCACCGCTCACTGGCAAACACGCTCGCAATTGGCCGGCGAGTTATCTTCTCAGTGTGTTAGCTGTTGTGGCTGCTAGTGTTGCGCTTGCCACCAGAGGCAAGTGCAACTGCTGCTCAACAAACCTGGAAATAATTGGTTTTCTGATCTAACTTATGTTGGATTTTCAAAACCAAAAACCCTCAACACCTTACAAAACTCTTCTCAGAGGCGTGAACATGGGAGGTGTGCTGAGGTTGGCAGAACACATGGCGGACAACAACAATCAGACAGAACATTCTATCACAACTATCTACTAACAAACTATCACACAATGGGTTAGACAAGGATCCCCACAATATATCTCGTTTCACTTACAAAACTCAAGGTCCACTAACCAACTTCATCCATACCACACAGTCTTCATCAGTGGACCGACTTGCACAGTTAATGGGGGCGGACCAATTGACCTGCAATCCTCTTTGTTTTTGTCCACAGTCGGAGAAATCCTGACAGACCAGAATCAGAGTACACAGACAAAATCCAACATTACACCAGTGGTCACAGTAAGTAGCAAATATTGTCATCAGAAATATCAAATTGATATTTTTAGTGTCAGCTGCTGGATGCTGGCATGTTTCAGTTTTATGTGTGTAGCTGTTGCTGTCTCTCCCATCTCTCTGTTGAAGTGTCACCGGGAATGAAGATCTACATCGACCCCTTCACGTACGAGGACCCCAATGAAGCAGTCAGAGAGTTTGCCAAGGAGATTGACATGACTTGTGTCAAGATTGAACAAGTTATTGGTGCAGGTAAATCCAAATGGGGCACGGAAATGGTATCGGAAAAAGCCGGGGAGGACTTAACAGAGGTTTTTAAAAGAGGGCATCTTAGAGTACTTACTGAAACCCTTCAGCACGGCTCTGAGGCTACTCGCTGCTTGGTGCATTAGGGCAACTGTGTCCGGTTGCCGACTCGGCTGTGACACTGTCCCGATTCCGTCATACGACACTGAAGTCACTGGGTCTCAGCGTCCAGCCACAATACGGCTGAGTCTGCTGGCTACCTGGGTACTGTGTTTGAATATTAGTACCTTATGGGAAGAACTTTGAGTGGTCAGAAGACTGGAAAAGAGAAATACAAATACATGCATGCAACACATATAGTACATATAGTATAATATATACTGTCTAAAAAGATAAAAACTATTATATCAGGGAAAAGGCTGTTTGTTACATGGGAACTCAAAGTATCCTGATCAAGGCTTCATTGTTAATCCACCTCCCTCGTCTTCTTATCAGGTGAGTTTGGGGAGGTGTGCAGTGGAAACCTCCGGCAGCCTGGGAAAAGAGAGATCCTGGTGGCTATTAAGGCGCTGAAGGCGGGCTACACTGATCGTCAGAGGCGGGACTTCCTGAGTGAGGCGTCCATCATGGGCCAGTTCGACCACCCAAACATCATCCATCTGGAGGGGGTTGTGACCAAGAGCACCCCTGTGATGATCATCACTGAGTTCATGGAGAACGGATCTCTGGACTCCTTCCTTAGGGTAAAGTACACATGGACACCTTGTGGATCACACTGCGCCCGCTGCAATGGGATTCTCAGGACATCTTATTAGCAGTTACATGCACATAGCCATGTGTTAAATCAGCTGCAGCTCTGATCCGAAACAAACGTGTTTAACAGTTTTTCCGTCTTCTGCTGTCACAACTTTTTACCATTTTCATGTCAGACAATATTTCGCGGACCGGCCAAGAAGGCCGAGGCGGCGGGGGGTGGGGGTCGCACGCTCTCTGTCCACTGGTACCGTGAGGAGTGAACAACTGTAACGTGATGAGGGCGATAATATACTCCCATTCCCTGGTGTTTCTGCATCAGTAAATCTGTGACTGATACCGTGGTCTATTTAAGAAAGCCGTGGACGCACACTTATCCCAGCTATGTACACCTGGGTTGACTTAGCTCCGCCTTCTCATCCCGGCTCCACAAACCTGCAACCGATTAAGATCACACTAAGTCAAGCCGCGCTTTTTCAGTTATCCTGGATTTCTTTATTCTACTTTTGTGCAATAGCCCCTTAGTTCCCTTAAGTTCAGTTAACCGCCACACTTTCCCTCTTTAAGAGGCTTTAAGATTATCCACGTAGCCTTCCCATCTTCTGATCCTCAGTGTGGCCACAATGCCACAGATTGTGATTATTCTTTCACTTTAGCACCATCTTCGCCTCTCGTCTCCCCCTCAAATTCAGTCAGGAGTGTTTATTAATTTGTGCATTATTAAACACGAAATGTTTTTTCTTTTTTCTTACAGCAAAATGATGGGCAGTTTACAGTGATCCAACTGGTGGGTATGCTGCGCGGCATTGCAGCAGGCATGAAGTACCTTTGTGACATGAACTACGTCCATCGGGACCTGGCAGCTAGGAACATCCTGGTCAACAGCAACCTAGTGTGCAAAGTGTCCGACTTCGGCCTGTCCCGCTTTCTTGAGGATGACACGTCAGACCCCACCTACACCAGCGCTCTGGTGAGTCTCCATCTTCAGGTGCTGTGTTTAATTTAAAGACTTAGGGTTATACTTTATAATTATTTATACTTTATAATAATACTTTATTTATCAAAAACCAAAATCAAAATGCCTAGGGGCCAACAGCAGACAAGGATGGGGACCAGGAACTCACAGACGTGGTAACGACATTCAATGACTTGACAAGGGTCAAAAGACACACATGGCTTATGGGGAAGGTGCAGATGATTGGACCCAGGCAGAAACAATCAGGGACATGGCAGACAATCACAGAGGATGACACGACAGGGCAGGAGGTGAAGCTAAACCAGGGACACGAGAGGCAGGAAACTACAAAATAACACAGGAAACAAACCCAAACCGTGGCAGCTACTGAACTTCTCACAGCAGGGCAGAGTTGACAGTGCAACCGTGTGTGAGTGTGACTGTGTAAAATAATGTTAAATCAATTATTTTCAAGGAACATGACTACCTAAATTATAATAATATATTCAACTAAATGCATCATAAATAAATACATTTTATGAAACAAATGTTTCTTTTCAGGGAGGGAAGATTCCCATCCGGTGGACGGCTCCGGAGGCAATTCAATACAGAAAATTCACCTCCTCCAGTGACTGCTGGAGCTATGGCATCGTAATGTGGGAGGTGATGTCATATGGAGAGAGGCCCTACTGGGACATGAGCAATCAAGATGTGAGTAAAGCTCTGTCAATCTGCCAGAAATTGGACTATATATGAATAATACATGATAATATAATGATTATAAGCTTCCATGTTTAGAATTGTGGTTTTTTTTATATGTTCTGAAGGTATAATCCGTAATCAGAGCAAATGCCACTTGTAATTGATTTGTCTTTTCCAGGTTACATAATAGAGAGAAATCAGAAGTACTTGATAGCCAATCATGTATTTAACCTTCATTCTGCAAACCCCGCTTTTTCTAATGAGTTCATATTATCGTTTCTACTTTTGACCCAATTGCAGCCATATCCACTTTAAATTGATTTAATACAATATATTAGTAAACAATATAACATGGGTCCTGGATTTAACGTGTCATGCAGTATTATCGTGGATAGAGGTTTTCTGTCACTTAAAAGGATACATATATCCTCATATACTCTGTTCATACAACATGCAAATTAAGTGGTGTCTTTATTAGATGACATTAATTTTAAAACAAATTAAAGCTGCAAGCAGCATTGGTTGGGCCCTCGCACGTGCACGCATGTTGAGGGTATTTGCTGGAATCTGGTTAAAGCTGCCATACATTTCTGTGACCATCAGAAGATGCTTGCACACATTTAGATGGTATTTCCTGTGTGTACCAGCAGAGTAGCCATGGCATTTTGTCAGCTCTTAAGCCTTAAATATTTATCTCAGAATATAATCATAACTCTAAGCCGGTAAAGATTAGTGAAAAACGAGTGTGTGCGTGTGAATAAAAAAGAGATAGAGACACTGAATCGCTACCTCAGACACCTCTGAATTGAGTGATATGCGTATAATTTCTCTCAGAAAGATGAGACTGAGAGTTAAACCACCAAAGATTTTAATCAGAAATGGCCCCTCTTATGTTTGATGTTTTTTTTGTTTTTTTTAAGCCAGATGCATGCAGCTGCCATTGTATGCGCATCACAAGCAATTACATCCGCTTCCGCGCAGGTTTTGGTGGTTGGGGTGAGGGGGTTTCTAAGCCAATCACTCTTGAGCGCCATTTTACGCTCTACCCGTTTTGCCATCTAAGTGTCTAACGGAGTTTTCCGTGTGGTGTTTGTCAGATACAATAGGATCAGACAATGCTAATAAAGTGGGTGAAATGTGTGAATTGGCCAACCAGAGCCGCATCCACAAATCCACATTTTCACTATTGCCGTTTCTTTGCCATAAGGCCTGCACTAAAGCCTCCTTTAGAGTATTTCAGCTTCACTTTATCCACGTAATAACTGTCCATGTTTACTGTCCACAAACTGGGCTATAACGTAGGTGTGTTATTAGCCTGCTATGGAATTTTTATGGCTGTTAGGGATTTTATTTCAGCCAAATATCAAAATTCAGAGGATGTTTTTGTGTGTTATATTGATTTGTTTCTTAACCAGTGACATATAACCTGATTTGTGAGTGATCAGAACACTCCCAGGGGTTCCCCTTCATCCCCACATAAAAAATGTCATGAAAGACAAAGTAGTTCCAGATGAATTACACTTTTTGTCATGGATATGCTATTTCTGGACACCAACTTACAATACATGTGCATACCTAATCGGGGTTAGTTCGGGGCACTATTTAGCCAGACTGCAGCTATGAAGTATTAAAATCATATCAGATAACTACAATTCATTTCATGTTGTTCAGCCCAAAATTACAAATTTGCCTTAGAGGGCTTTACAATCGGTACGCATGCAATATCTTCTGTCCCGAAACTCTCACATGGGGACAGGATGTGCAATGGGTGTCATGTGCACAGAATGAAGAATTTAAAAGATGTAGTATATGTTCAATGCATATGTAAGAAATAATTCAAATATTGAGAGCCAACCACCACCATCAGATAGAAGCACCATCCACAGAAACCTGTGAGGAGGGAAGGCACAACGTTTGCCCAACATTATGGTTTATGATGACAGTAATACGATTAATATTTAACATAATAATGATGATGATGATGGCAGCAGCAGGTGTCAGCAGGGCCACGGCAGGTGTCAGGACCAGGGTCCAGAAGGAACTACGATCTATGGAGACCTGCTAGGGGAGAGAGCACTAAACTGAAAACTGAAAACAGTAGGAACAACAAGTAACCAGCATCTATGGAGCGCAGCTTCCTTGTTCTTTGCCTTGCTCTTTTTGATAAGATTGTGCCTCACCAGCAAGTGCCTTGTCGGTGAGAAATACTGTCTAAACCTGTGCAAGCAGCTTCTGATGTCTGCTTGCACAATGATCGACATGCATTTGTCTGCGAGGGACCAATTATGCTTGCAGCTTTAATCTAATGAGTTCTTAACTGAATCACGTTCTAGTCATTAATTTTCATCCACATTCTTCTAGGTTATCAATGCCATAGAGCAGGACTACAGGTTGCCTCCCCCTATGGATTGTCCTAGTGCATTGCATCAGCTGATGCTGGATTGCTGGCAGAAAGACCGCAACAACCGGCCCAAATTCAGCCAGATCGTCAGCACCCTGGACAAAATGATCCGCAACCCCAACAGCCTCAAGGCCACGACACCGCTGTCATCAAGGTATGAAAAGTAGAAGACCTCAGTCCCTTCAAACTCTGGATGACCTGCACCCCTCACAAATCAACTTTCTCACAGGATGTTGTCTTCTTTTTACTTGTTTCCGTCCACCAGCGTTCACTTACCTCTGCTCGATCGGACCGCTCCGGACTTCTCTTCTTTCAGCGTCGTAGATGAGTGGCTGGACGCCATCAAGATGGGGCAGTACAAGGAGAACTTTACCAATGAAGGATTCACCAGCTTTGATGTGGTGTCACAAATGACCATGGAGTATGTTGGATACTTTTAATATATTCCCAATGTGAATTGTGTTGATGATACTGATCATCATGATCATTGTTATAAACCTAAGGCAAATCCCATGGCTCATGGGTCAGAGAAAAGTCATTTCTAAACTAGATATCTTCACAACATCTTTAGGATATTGGAACTTTAATGTAAAAGTCCCAGTGAAACAGCACCAAAATGGCCTTTCTCTTATAATATATGAATAATTCCCACAGGGATTCAAATCAAACATTTTGAATTGAAAAAAACAAATAAACTCAAGTGCGTCATATGACAAAGGAAACATTACTTTAGTTCTTTCAACTTTAAAACGTATACATTGTATCATAAGCAGACATGTCAGCCGATACTTAAAACCAAGTCAAAACATGTTTCCCAAAATAAGAACAATATCATATGTTCCTAAAACAGGGCAAGGGAGCCCTGTAACTCAATTACATTCTGTATAGGCCAATATCAAATTTGCCTCTAACGGCTTTACAATCTGTACACATGCGGTTGGAAGTAGACAGCCAAAACCGCAAAATAAACTCTGAGGGGACTCACTTCTGCTTTGTAGCTCTGATCATATTCTAAAACTCCCCATGCCAGACATAGATATCATCCTCCAGAAAACAAGGTGCCTTGAAGATCTAGACGGATTCCTCTTGTGGTATATATTGAGGGGGAACTGACCAAAGTTTCTCTTCAGGGACATCATCCGAGTGGGAGTGATGTTGGCCGGCCACCAGAAGAAGATCCTCAACAGCATCCAGTCCATGAGGGCCCAGATGAACCAAATCACTTCAGTCGAGGTCTGACCTTGAAGACCAAGAGCACACACTCTGTTTACACAAGTAACCTAGATGCCACCAGCAACCAACCCTGCATTCTGCTGGAACCTTGTTAGGACAGACCGTGACTTCAGTCGCCCCCCAGCCCCTCCAAACGGTCTTCAGAAGGTTCTATCGGTCTGAAGCGCCTGCTGTAACTGCTAGTTGGGGGAACAGGGGTTTTGTGTTGACCATAAACACACCCATCGAAACCCAGTCTTCAAGCTCCATTCGTGTCATTCAATGAGACACCTTGTTTTGGGGATTTACTCAGTTCATTTATAACATACGATACTTTGCTCCCATTCCACCAAGTTCAAACATTCAGTGAGAAAGGGTTTGCACTTTAAATTGTTTGGACAAGACTCACTCTTTAAAATAAATTCAATTCAACTTACTTGATGAGCTTACAGTTGGTAGCATCCATAATGTTTAATGAATCCATATGTGCTTACAGACAGCGGGTAGTTACTGCTGTCACACAGTCCTGGGACCCATGTGGTATTAGTTAACTATTAAAACTTTTATTCTGCGACAAGATATACTCTTGATGGCAGGCAGCTTTACAGTAATAGATATTAAAGGCATACGCATTATGCAACCCTCTATCAGTTTTCTTTTTGCTGCAAAATCCAAACAAGATTATAATTAAGTTCTGACACATGAGGGACAAAGGTAATGCAGCCAGTCACTTGTTATTAGACCTGATGTCAAACAGAAAGGCCAGGGCCATGCACCACGAGGTGCCAACCAAGAGGAAGTGTGTTTGCACATTAACAAGCAATAAACACAGGTGGCAGCACTTCAACCAAGACTTATAGCTTACCAGGAAATTACTGAATAATGGAAGAAACCGTGACACTAACACCACCAATGCCAACAATGTAAATAAAAAAAGAATCCCTTAAGTTGGTCTTTTGGAAACGCCATGAAATGGCAAAACTGATATTTTTAAAAGCCAATTGGTTGATATTTTTTCACAACTCTTCTTACCGAGTAAGTTATACTTTAACCTTGACCAACACCTGAAATTCACATGATCAAACTGTTGATTGGAACATACACTGGCTGTCCTTGAGTGTGATTTTACTCTATTAACTGTAGAGATTTACTTCCGGGTTTGGAAACAATACATTGGAATTCGTTTGAGGTGAAGGTGCAATGCTTCATCTTTTACAACCAGTTGTTCATGAAAAGTGACATATTTTCAGGCCACAGGAGGTCCGTAAAGCAGGCCAGGGTGGGGCAGTGCAAGAGAGATGAAAAACAGGCACAATTGGAAGGTAGAACAGGTAGAAGTCCAGCAATAAACAAAAAGCCTCCCTTAAACCTGTTGGGCTCTTTGTAGTCCTTTCGATTCCCTTTCCTCCACATAGGTCTCCGTTCCTATACTGCTTGCCCAACTCCTCTCTGCCATGTGCTCCCCGTCCCGCCCCTCATGCACCTCCCCAGCTCTGCCTCAATTAGGTGCCTTAAGCGCCTGCTGCTGGGTGAGTGATGAGGCAGTCAAGGAGATGGAGGCTGCGGTTGGATTCAAATTGTCAAATTTCCTTTGGAAAGTTCCTAACTGAGTGACAGGGCTTCTGTGAGTGGCCGCTATGATTAGAGCTGTTTGAGTTCTCTAACTGCTAAGGAAATGAGCTTCAATGCTTCCCTACTTGGCTCCTTTAGCTTAGGAACCACTGGACCACCCTTTACGAAAGGAAATGAGATAATTCCATTCCTTGGGGCGGCGGTATTTAAATAGTTACATATCATTCAGCTGTTCACAACAATTAACAATCAGGACCGAGAGACGCAGATCATGTAAGTAACCATCAGCACAACTCATTTATATTGCAACCTTGTTAATGAAGTAATACTTTGAACCTGGTGGTTTTATGTCATCTGCATGACTCAGCACTGTAACAACACATGAAGGCATCTAAAATGCTTCTTTGTAGTCCATCTTTGGAGAAATTGTAGTTTTGCCGCTGCACACTGACGTCACTAACATGCGGCGCCCGTCGCATCAGAACTACGTGGCTTAGTGAAAGTGGATGTCGGATGCCCTAAGCCCTGCCGTTGTCTTGTCTCCTAACCATCTTTCCTTGCCCCCATGAGGTTTTCCACAAGGTGCTTAGGAGAAGATGTTATGATATTTGTGACCATTCGAATCCAGATTGTCAGCCACAGCAGCTATTTTATGGTGTGGCCCCCGATCACCAATGTAGCGCCCCTCCACTCCCTGTCCCCTTGTGATGCCACGATGTCTGCATATCAATAGACTTTCCTTCATTTTGACCCCTACAAAAGTTGAACATTGTCTATTCATCACTCGACCACTATTTCAATCTCTGTTTGCATGACGGCCTATTGGTCTTAGCCGACGTTTACTGTTACTATTCATCAAACTCCACAACAACCCATGGCCTCCACGAGTTAGCCGACCTCTTAACGTTAGCCAGTAAAAGTTCTCTTGACTTCTTGGAACGTCAACAACAATCTGAAACATCTATTCCTTGGGCTGTATTGGTTAAAGAGATCACAAAGTATAGTAGTGCTTTTATATCTAATGCAAAAATGGCAAGGCCAACATTCATCAATAACGTTCAAAACCATTACATGACATGTTAAAAAACTGAAATCAATGTCAGCTATTTCTTTTATTATTAAACAGAAAGTCAAAAAAGCCTCCCTGAATGAAAATGTTTTTAGGCCAGTCTGAAAAGAGTCCCTTAGGTGGTTGGGCTGAGCAAAAGGCCCACAGTGTGGAGCACCCACACGAGCAGTGACTGACATCATGATCAACTTTGCCATCAGAGCTTTAGACAGAGTCTATATTATTGACCGAACAGCTCTTTTTCATGAAAGGATAAGTGAGTATTTGTCCTCTCAGGTTTTCTGTAGGACATGCAAATGTCTGACGATCTGTCCGTGTTCAAATTCCCATTATGGTTCAAAATGAACCTGCTGAGGTGAGATGCTGAGTACTGCACCAACAGATAGTTTTAGATACTACAAAGGCCGGGGATACTAAATGGAACGGGAATTTTAGACTTAACAGAAACAGGACAGTCTCACAACAATGTTGAATTTTGATAAAACGTTTTTTTTTTTTTTAAATAAAGGTGTAAGAAGGGCATGTGGTTATGACAATAATCTATACTTCTGACTAGAAAATGATTATCCTCATCCTTCTATTGTAACAGCAAAAAGCAAAACTTTACCCTCTGACCTTTTATGTACCTTTCTAACCTGAAAAGCCACTGAATCTAGACTTGTTTGTAAATGGTCAGAATGTCCATGATACATTTGAGGACGTCACTCCCGAACCCTCAAATCCGTCCAATTTCTTCACGGCTGATCGTTGACGTTGTGGAACGCGAAGTTCTCAGAGCAGCTCGCTGAATCCCAATGTGAAGTAAAACAGAAACAAAAGCCTCACTGAGAATGTGCACCGCAGGCTGGAATTATATGATCTTTTATGTGTTTCTTACACTTTCACAACACAGAATCACCAGCTGGAAAAATGAAGAAACCCACAAAAACTGGCTGTTCTATCCGAGCCTCCTCCTCCGATACACACAGTGAGGCTGGAATATGCAGCGCTACATGTTTGAACATGTTGTGTACGTTGAGCGGACTGTACGAGACATTGTCATCTCACTGCACACGCACCCTGTGTCAGACTTCCTGCAGTTTCACAACTTGTTTGATTCATTTCAAATGAAAAAAGTGCTTCCTCGTCTATTTTGAAGATTTTTTTTTCACATTCTCCCTTTAACTTTCATATTCAATGAAAATTGTTCATTCAGGTTTTTTCAATTCTGGTCTACACTACTTTGTCATACTATGCGTGGCATTACTGTTGCAATTGTTCTATATCGTTTAGGGATACACAAAGACGCTGTACATACGCATGATCTGCACATGAACCGTTTTCAGCTGATCCTATTCAAACTGGAATCATTTGATGTTTATGAGAAATCCACTGCTCTGTTTCCGTTTCCTCTGCTTTTTAACTATTCAGAGCCTGTCTTACAATTGTACATATGCTCATGATGTCCTAGTGATCAGGATGGTAATATGTGGGCTCTTGTTTCATGGAAAATATTACTTTCACACTAAACCCTCATTTATTGTGTAAGATTATTCAAAGAGGGAAAAAGGATCAACCTGTGTGAATGTGGTCCTCGGTGACGTGTGTCAGCCTGTATGAATGTCTGCTAGTATCAACATGGGATCACAAATCGCTAACATCAAAAATCAGTTTCTCAAAATAACTTCAAATAACTTGAATACATATTTATTTTGGAAGAATCAACAAAACAAAATGAATACTTTCTCATAAACTCAGCTAACCATTGGGAATACTTACTAGCTACATGGCACTGTAAGACACATTCACTCATTCGCTCCACTTGATGTTATTTCTATTTATTTGTTTTTGTATTGTTTAAAATGACCATGTAAGTTTAAATCCAGCCACAGTTGCACTGCTAAAAGATAATAGAAACAACCTCACTTGAATAGGACCTCTATAAAGAGAACCATTCTATTAGTCTTTGTGTGTGTGTGAGTGTGTGTGTGTGTGTGTGTGTGTGTGTGTGTGTGTGAGTGTGTGTGTGCTGCCCCGTGTCTGAGCTGCACTGTGGCAGCTTCTCAGTCCTCACATAGAGCTAAAATGGTTCTGGTTTGACGCGTTCGCAGTCGACACTTTTGGACTTTAAAGGAATGATGGGAAATGTGCAAAGTTTCTTTCCCTATCGGAGTGATTGTTCAGGTGGATATCAAGCGTAGGACTATTAGCCAGCATTTAGACTCGAGGCAGTTAGTAATACGTCATATCGGATTTGTTCATCGAAACAGAAAAGGTTGTGGAGAAACAAAACAGTTTATACAGCTGTCTGCTTATTTTGCAGATACAGTATGAATATATATCAAGTTTGGACCCACATTTGAGAAGGTGGGGAAATATGTATGATGCACTGTTTTTTTTCAAACTAATAAAGGCCTCAAAAACACCCCAATGAGACATCGCGACTGCTGTAGACTATTGATCTCACTGTCTGAAAGGAAGGGAACCAACCACAGCACCCTCAGTGGTACAAAAGTAAGACAGACTTCATGTACGGGTGGTGTCATGCTAAACAACTGAATTGAATGCAAAATGTTGGCTTTGCTGAAGTCTCAGGATCAGATATTTTAGCTCTATGGCGGAGCTGTTTCCTTTGCACTGGACAATCTTCCTTTTTGCTAGCCCTGGGGTGAACCTGAGAACATTGTACTCAATTAGAGCCCTAAATGTATTACCTGGACTCTTTTTGGTCCAAAGCACATGACACCGGGGTCAATGTGAGATTCCAGAGGTGTAACACGCCTCTCTTCTCAGCCCTTACCACTGTGATCTCACCTTGACTTTTGTTTTTCTATTTGACTTGTGCTTTTCTGTATAAATGTATATTTGATGGTATACCTGTGAATGATGTATCAGTTTGAAATATTTGTAATACTGTTATTGGTTTATTTTGTATCAAACAAGAAAATGAAAAGTAATGAAATAAAAGAATACACAAGATACTGAGTTTTGTTGCTGTTACTGTCTTCAAAAACAAACAAAAACAATGGTGGTAAACAGATTCTGCAAAGATATAGCACCACTTTAGTAGAGTGTTTGATATCTGATGAGAGAAGGTGGCACATTGCATTCTATACTGCAGAGCTTCTTTACGGAGGTGGAATTGTGGTTTCAACCTGTGATACAAGCTTTGGAAAGTTAAGGGAATTTGAGGATCACTGTCCTAAAGACACTACTCAATAATTATTTTTGTCCTTCAATTTATATACTTAATTAAAATAATTAAGACACACCCATTATAAAGACAAGGTCTCAAAAACTGGTAGGTAGGTACAGAGAGACAGAGAGGAGGGAGAAAAATGGCTTGACTACCTCAAGTCATCTGTTCATTTCTGTGCACGTAGGCTAGCTAGTTAAAGACATGAGACATTTCTTTGGCTGCTTTAGCCACAGACAGACAGACAGACAGACAGACTCTTTGGACTCTTTACATACCAGATGTCCAGACTCTTTAACATACAAAAGACTGGGTGCTTGTGCTGCTGCAACACTTCAGACCGATATATTCACTATTTTACGACCTGAACACCAACAAAAAGCAGTTCTGCTCCAGAGGTGTTGCCTTAGCCAGACTACAGAATGAGTCATTGTCACTGAACTGGCTTTGGTACAGTTCAGCTTGGTGCAGTGCAACCACGCTCCCTGCCGCTCCCTGTGGCACTTGGTGTGACCTACTTTTCCCCGTTATGATAGAGATCACAGCGCATTTATTTCTGTAGTCATCTTTTTCTTATAGCAAACACTCTAGTAAGACTCTAAGGCAGGGGTGCCCAATAGGTCCATCGCGATTGACCGGTTGATCGTCAAGGCACGTAGATTGGCGGCCATTGAAAAAATGTATGGCATTTGTTTAAAATGCAAAGTAGACTAACTATACATATTCAGGAATAAATTGGATATGTATACTGTCTATCTGTATCTATAAATAGATATTTAGCATGTTTAATGTAGGCAGATCTCAATGACCTGGTCCCTTGAAAAGAAGCGTGCGAGGCGAAAACGTGTCATATGTCAAATTTATTTTCTTTTTGCATGCCTGATGTCACAAGCAAACAGACGACTGTAGAATCTGGAATTAGTGATCCGTCGATTTTACACTAATGCCTGTCTTATTTATGTCAAGCAAAATAACTGGAAAAAGCTGATGAGATCCATTCAAACATATACATGTTTCATGGTAATTAATTGAACGACAGTTTACGTAATGCTTCAGATTTATATATGCAAATAAGTGTGGCAGAAATTTGTGAGGGAGAAAGTGATATTATTGACCAGTAATTACCATATATACATTTATCTAGGGACCCACCACCTTCATGACAACCGGTGACCCACTGACAAATTATATGTCATTTCATATTTTATTGAACTGAAATGGGTGCAATATGGTGGTATTTCTGCAGTTTATAATCAGCCTGCAAGAAGCCGCAACACATTGCAAAGGCACATTTCCACGCTATGTCTGCCAACTCTGTTACTGGCAGATATTTTAGACGGGTTGTAATGATAACGGGGCCTTTCCTCCATTCCCGTCAAGCCAGTGAAGCCAAGGCGAGAGAAAGATAAAAGGGGACTGAAGGAAAAATGGGGGGGGGGGGGGGGTTGCAGTGATTGCGAGAGAGCGCGTCACATGTGAGTCACGGATTGTGATGGACTCCTCATATTTGTTGGGGCTGCGTAGAAGAAGGAGCTCTGACAGGGTTTCAGTCAGTGACGACTCTCGCCGTGGTTGTGCTCCACTGAGCCGACAGATGCCAGTGGCAGCTGCTCTTCCTCAGCGGCAGGCTAATGAGGCACGGAGGGTTGATTCTGCCAGTGCACACAGACACAAACATGTCACGTGGCTTACCCCACCAACCCCGCCCCCCTCGCCTCGGGGTCGTTAGTCTCTCTTTACCTCAGTGTTAATCCCCCACCCCCACCCTCTCCCACCCTCTCCCTGCTCTCTTGCACACTCTCTCTTTTGCTCCTCCCCTCTCTTCCCTCAGAGCCGGCAGGCTGCCATTTGATCCAGACTGCTAGTTACATGATCTCCTGGAATACAACGCGCCCTCGCTGCTCCATGGCTTTTTGGCTTGTGAAGGATGCCAGCACCACGCTGAACACTATCAACATCGTCTGGCCTTTCCTTCCCCTTCCCCTCCTGTGATCTGAGCCTGTCTATCTGTCCGTGTCCCTGACCTCTCTTCTCACCCCTTGTCGACAGCCTGTCACCCCCATCTCCTATTTAATGCTGCTGCCCCCTCGACAATGATACCATGCGTTAACTGGCTGCAGCCTTTCCTTGCCTTGATCTCCTCAACCTTGCTTGCGCGAGGCCACATCTGTCCATCCAGCTGTTTGTGTCCGGACCACCACACTGTGGACTGCACAAGCCAAGGTCTAACCACAGTCCCGGACTTCATCCCTCTGGACGTTCGCCGTCTCCTGCTTTCCAACAACTGGATTCCCTGGATCCCCTCAGACTTCCTCGTCTTCTACAGCGATCTGGTATACTTGGACATCAGGAATAATTCCCTCTCCCAGTTGGAGCCAGGGACCCTGAGCACCTCCTCCAAATTGGTCTTCTTGGACCTGGGCAGCAACAACCTGACAGAAATCTCCTCGGGAACGTTTGGGGAGTCGAGGAATCTGATCAAACTTCGATTGGGGAACAACCCCTACCTAAACATGGTGGAGAGGGATGCTTTCACAGGGTTGACGTCTTTGAGGGAGCTGGAGATGGAGAGGAATGGTCTCACGGCGCTGGACGTCACGGTCCTTGAATCTTTGCCCTCCCTCCGGATGTTGCGTCTGGAGGGCAACCCTTGGCTCTGCAACTGCCACTTTGCCAAACTGTTTGCGTGGCTGACAGAGAACCAAGACAAGCTCCCACAGGGTAAGACAAAAGTTCATTACGGCTCAGTCTTTGTTCCCCACAGAGAAGAGGAAATCCCATCACGTGCCTGCATTTAATGTTTGATTGATCAGTAACAATGCCGGACATATTTGATTATTAAAGGATCCATGTATTTTATTTCAAGTGTTATTCTTCCTCATCAAGGCAAAAAACGAAAGTGGAAGTGCTATTGTTTTTTTTATGGATAGATAAATGTAGTCAACCTTACTAAGCTTAGTTTAGCACAATGACTCCATGGTGTTCATCACAGCCACACAGATTTGTCTTCCGTCCTATGTTTTGAACAATATTACTTACACCTAACTCATGTTGTAATTTCAAACCAAAAACCTAAAACGTGCAGAGCCACATTGAGCGCTCCAAATACTGATCCACAGGCCTATTGTACTCCTTCAAACCTTTTATTATATATATATTTTTCTTCACCTTCATTTGTTATTTTCTTTTCATACCCACTTTTAGAACTTTCAACTGCATCACCTTCAACATCAGTTGGAGTTTCAGGGTTTCCACTCTTTTCTGAAGATCGACAGACAGGGATCCCATCACATACAGTACTAGTATGTTCCTCTGTGTGGAAGTCTGATTTAAGAGGTATAGAAGTATACCGTATCCATGAAATCATCCGTATGTAATAAGGAATGATCACAACTTCACATAACAATGCCCAGTGCTCATTTGAAATCATTACTGGCAGCCACAACTGAATCACACACCTTTGTCAGAAAAACTATCGTGCAGGCATTCCAATTTCATCAAATGAAAAAGATACACTAACCAATTTCACATTATTTAAACATTTAAAAGAAGTTAGTAATGCAGAAACTTCCAACCTGTGCCACTTTGAGGTGTTACGTCAAAATAGAGAGGAGCCTTTTCAAAATACTCTGCATCCTTCAAGGTTAAATGATCTTGAACAAAACATAATCGTTATCCACTTTGGATTAAAAGAGACTGATAGAATGACTGGTAGGTTATGTTGGAAAGAGCAAAATATTGATGCACTTTTTATGTTATCTATGTAATTAGAGACTGGAATTGTGTAGGACCATAAAACAAAAACTACCACATTTTCTTGAAATTATCGTTTACACACAGTGTTAAGCAACTGAAATTGTATAATTGTATAAAACAAATATTTAGTAAATGTTTTTAGTTACTTGGGAGCCTTTGCTAGGACTTAAATATACATACCTTACCCGAAACGTAAAATACTATCGTTAGCAAGATATCGTATTATTACATAGTAGTAGGTGAGTCGATGTGCAATAAGCCTTCGATTGATACTGGAATCAATGACGCAGCCTGCTGGTTTTTCTACTGGGTCCAGGTGGAGTTTTAAATAAGAGTAAGTTTAAAGGCAACCTACATTAACCCTGTTAACACAATCCCCCACTGTTTGTATTGGTCGGGCCAACTAACGACATCCAGGTCCAAGCTCCTCACACGCACACACACACACACACACACACACACACACACACTGGTTGTTGTCTCGCAGTCACTTTGCATCTGTTGTGGTGGCTACATTCTTGTTCTTGTGTGTTCCTTGAAATTATGTTAGTGATTGTATTTTGTGACTCATATTATCGTCTGTGAATTTTTAATCCTTTGTGTGATTGATTTGTGTGTGTGTGTGTGTGTGTGTGTGTGTGTGTGTGTGTGTGTGTGTGTGTGTGTGTGTGTGTGAGCATGCATCTGGATGCTTGTTGAAATATCATCAAGTGATGAGGTTACCGAGTCCCTTTCATGTGGAAAACCCTTTCTGGTCTTACGCTGACTCACACACAAACACACACCCATACACACACACACACACACACACACACTTGACAATGATGTCTAATGACTCCTTGGTGCAGCAGTGCTACAGAGGAATCGAGATGAGATGGAAGTGCAGTGGACAGAATATTTCCGAGTTGCAGCGCATCGGTACCAAAAGGAACAGCCATCTTCATAAAAAATTGATGGCAGAAACTAAAACAAATACAAAAAAGAGTCAGTTTCTACTTTTAACCGTTAGCATTTTGGCTCAAAATAGCGGTAAGAAGTCCCTCCACACCGACCAACAAGCCGAGCGCGCACACGCTAGCAAAGTGCACAGTGAGAATGTCCTGAATTCATCCTCCTTGTTTCAGACACAGGGGGGCCGTGGCACCGTGGAGGGCAGCGTTGTCCTTCCCTGGCTCTGATAGTCAGAGTGCCGATGTGTCGTTAAGCAAGACACTTAACCCTAAGAAGCTCCCTCAGCTGTGACGATGTGTGTGAATGTTGTTACTGATGGGCAGGTGTCACTGTGTCTCTCCTGTCATCATAGTTCTTGTGGTTTATCCAAACAAGTGAAGGGTGTCTGCATTACAGTCCGCAGCGGACAAAGTCGGGCCGGCTGTTGTTTTGTTAACTTTAGGTGTTTTTAATTCATAGTAAAGTTTGTGAAGGTGTGCATATGTGTGCAATTATGTGGGTGTACAACAAATACAGCTTCAGCAACATTGCAAGAGCTGTTTTTTTTCTGTCACTGTTTGGTTCAAATGTAAAGGCAGATTTTATACATATATAGAAAATATTAAGTATATAGTATATTTATTCATATATGCCAAAATACCTGGCAAACTTCAACCTCAAATTTTGAACCCAAACCTCATCCAACAACACCTCGTGGTTGCCATTAAAACGTGCATGTGGACACTTCTGGTAGATTACTTTGTATTTAAGGGCAATAACTCTTCATTTTTACGTCCACATTGTCACAAAGGCAGAGGGAATGAACCGACGGCGATGTAGGCAGCCCGGTGTCAGTGGTTAACCTGTTGATGTGTCTCTTCCCAGGTATGGAGGCGATAGAGTGCTCCCTGCCTCTGGATGGCCGTCGGGTCCCCCTAAGTTTACTCTCTGAAGACAGTTTTCAGGAGTGCCGTGGCGCCCTCACCCTGACTGACTACTTCATTGTCATCTTCTCCGGCATCTCGGTCTCAGTGGCAGCAATCGTGGCCAGCTTCTTCCTCGCTTCCACAGTCCACTGCTTCCACCGCCTCAGCAAAGGCAGCAAAGGAGATGAGGAAGAGGGCAACGACTGACGAAGGAACGGAAACAGGGAATTAGGTTATCAAACAAAAGTGTTTCTTACTAAACTCTTGCTCAGAACTCAACAAAACCTGAGTGCAAGGAAGATTGTGGTGAAGCAATGTAGTAACGGCATTTAAGGAAATTGCCACATCAAGAAACTCTTCCCTTGTCAAAACAAAGACCACACTGGATCTATCATGGGAATCAGGGACAAGTTGGAGAACATCCAATCTATTGCTTACTGTGCTGACTGTGAGGCGCTGTGCAATGAGAAGAGCTGTAGCATTGTGGAGAAATGATGCCAATCCATTGAGTCTGATATTAGTAAATGTATTGTAGATGGAGGTGAAGGGACAAATGTCTCTGCAATGCAAGGGAAATACAAGTCGTGTCCCCAGCAGATCCGTACAGGTATTTGTTGGGGTTACAATGTGGTGCCATTAAGAAAAGGTCTCCCAACAGGAGCTGACCAGTTAAAACCCATTTAAAAACCCCAAACAAAATAAATTGTATTAGACAACATGAATTTTTAGACATTTGAGATGGTCCCAAAAAATAAATTAAATATTTTAGATGTTCACACGGTGCACAAAATAAAAAAGACAATGGACAAATTCATTAGTCAAATAAATCAAAGTCAAAGCCCACTGAGTTGTGCTTGGAAATGATTTGCAAAAAAAGTACCTGTACGCGTGACCTTTTAAGTCAGACCCCACCCAGAGGGCAGAGGGCTGCACAGACATGGTCCATGTTGAATTCCGCAGGTTGTCAGAGGTTCAGAACTTCCAAAGGACTCTACTGAGAGGGTCCACTGTACAGCTCGTCAGTAAGTGCCTTGCCAAACAACAAGTTGTGATATCTGACATATTTACAACACTTCATTTTTTACTGTAAATGTTTATTTATTATTTTATTTCAGATACTGAAACAAAAGTTTACATTTTATACATCAAGATATACTCAAAACTGGTCCTGGTAGCTTTGCTCAAATGCAGTTAAGTGTGTTAAGTTATATAGTACGAATGCCTGACTTGTTTTCATTTTACTTTGGGTTACCGTGGCATTTACATTTTGTTCTCGTTCTTCAGATGTAGATTCAATCATTTAGGCTAAAACAGTGACATCAGTCTAAAATCATGCAGCAATTTTATGTCTTTAAAATCAGTTTGAGGATTAAGTTGTTAGCCCTGGCTAAAATAAAATAAAATACTAAAATAATTGTGCAGTGCGGTCGTATTGTGAAATGATTACATGGCTTTGCATGTGGATGGATCAGACTTGCTTTGAAAAATTGCTTTAAAACAAGTAGATCACAAGCAGAATTTATATGATTGTCACATCAGCTGTGACTCAAAGTCACTAGGCTGCATCCTTGTAGCCTCCAGCCTTCAGCAGGGTCCTTCAACAACCGTATAGGCTGAACCGACCGGTCTCTGAAATGGACTTCCTGCTTGCGTCATCAGCCTTACCTCCGCTGCTCCCCGTTGCCTAGCAACCTGCTGACCTTAACAATAAAGGCCTTAAAACCCGAAAAAAAACTTTCATTTAATTTAGAAAAATATGCTTCTCCTCCGGAGCATGATATATTTCGGTCTGAGAGAAGAGCTAGTTTCTGGTTATTTTAAATTAATTAATTAACTTAAAAAAACGTAATAATGCAATCACACTGGAGAAAGAATGTCTGGCCTGTTACCTCATCGGGCGGAAATTCACACTAATCACGGCCCATGCGCCTTTGCAGTGGATGGTAAGGAATAAAGGTGGTTTCTCAGCCTCCAAGCATTTAACTTTTTAACAGAACCACGGGAATGTGGATGCCCCCCCACGACGAGATGCCCTGTGGGCCGTATCGGGTTCCCCCGGAAGCCTCAAGGCTGTGGAGAGGGAAATGTGATGTCCTGAGAGGTCCTCAATGGTACATTCCCACTATATCTTGTCTACCTGAGCTCAAAAAAGTGAGCTAAGTCAGTAACGTTACAGAATAAATACACAAAGAAACTGAACTGGCTTTGCTCCTTTTGTTCCTCCTTTACATTTTGTTGGGTTGTATGGAGCAGGAGGAAGGTGGTGGTTTTTAGTGACGGTATTGATGGAATCTCCTGTGCCTTGAGATTGCATTTTGACTTGGCGATGGGTGACTATGGGTGAGTGGGGAGCATGGTCGTCCTCCAATCAATCCCAGGCCTGGGGCTTTGATTTAATTACATCCATTTGGATGTTTTTCATTGGTAATTTAAGCACATTTAAGTTTGCACACTACTTTTGAATTCATTATTGAATTTTCCGCATTACAATGTGATTAATCAATCAATTACAATTAAACATTGGAATTGTTGCCCAGCAGTAAAATAGTGGCCGAGATATCTGAATCTATGTCAAATTGATGGACCGACTGATGATACCATCACTAAATTTGCTGTGATGTTCATGTCAATAGTTTCTGAAACATTTCTTCATGGACGTGTACAGCATTATTTATGTGAATGTCTGTATGGCGAGTTAATAGAACCATTTCAGGTGCTGGCAGGTGTTGGGCAGGTTCATCCAGATGTGGCTGTCTGATAGTGGGTTTGTGAAGTGGAGCAGATGGCCCTGCTCCACTGTGGGCCTGCTCTGTATTATGTGGGGAAGTGACATACGAGCCAGCCAATGGGCCAGAGGTCCAATCAGCAGATTCCCATCTACCATGATTACTGATGTGTTTGTGTGTGTGTGTGTGTGTGTGTGTGTGTGTGTGTGTTGGCGGCAACATTTGAAAGAAATCACCCTGAAGCTTCCAGTTCGTTACCTATGTTAAGAAAACAGAAAGCTGTGGGGAAAGGGCAAAGACCACTGGCAAAGAAGACCAGTCAGTGATGGTGGTTTAGGATGCCAGTAATAGTAATGTGTCTAATAATAATATTGCTAGCAGCCGCAGGTGTCAGCAGGGCCGAGGCAGGAGGCAGGACCAGGGTCCAGACAGAACCGTTATCCATGAAAACCTGTGACGAAAACAAAAACTCCAGGGAAGAAGCCGAATTAGTGATGTGCATTAATGTGGATTCTTATAGTAGGTGGGAGAGAGACGGTAGAGCGTGTATGCGTGACGTGACGTCATTTCTTTTATTGACGGCACGTGATCGACTGGTACTGCGATCGACCTATTGCCCCCCCCCCCCCCCCCGCCCTGTTCTTGCATGTGAAAGGTCGCTCACTTCTAACACCCTCTGTTCACATGAACCCCGTCGCTAACAAGTTACCACAAGTACACAACCCATTGCGCACGCAATGTCGGCTGTGAAATCAAAGAGCCGCACTACGTGGAAGCATGTGATCTTCATGTTGAAGTCTGTTTTTATGTCACTCATTTGTAACCCACTACTATCAGCCCCAGCTGATAGCAACATTTTTCATTTTGCCTGAAAGGGGTATAAAACAAAATTCCCTTGAATAAAATGAGCTGGTTCCTGGAATGAGCATCTGCAGAGCTCAGCTGTGCACATGCTCAGCAAAGCCGTTCAATACAACTTTGGAAGAGGCAGAACTGTGAGTTATTCCACTTCACTGTGTATTTAGGTTTGTCAGCTGTATTTCGTATGGACTTAAATGCAGTGTATTTAAATCGACTAATGATGAGCCGGACCTTCTTTAAGACACAAAGAATTTGTCAAGTCAAATTATGGACGTCTATGGGGACTAGAGAAAAAACATGAATAAATAAACAAATTATACAAATTGCATAAACATGGGGACACAAACGTTTGGAAGGCTTCAAATCTGTCCAGTGCTGCACCCTAAATTGTCCAACATTTGTATCGTAGTGGAAAGGGGATGGAGGCATTGATAGAGGCAACACTATTTGCCTTATATTTAAACTTACTCAACTTACTTACTTAAAGATACTCATAATTGCATTTTGTTTAAATATAAGATAATAATGTTGTTAATATATACAAGGGTGTTTCCTTCATTCTGCTCAGTAGACACAGTGGTTCAGTTAAGTCACAATAACTTGTTTTACTTAAATTGTTAACAAAAGTTTGATTTCACTTGCCAATTTTGAGTTGTAATAACTTCACAAAATTATGTAAATACAACTGAATGTAAGTCAACTTAACAAGTGGATTAAGTAAACATAACATGTGATGTAGGTAGATTTACCTAGATTTTAGTAAATGGCAAATATCAACTTTGTATGTATCGAAGGATTGAAGAATATAATGTTGACTAACTAATTGAAGTGCACGCAAAACATTAGAATATGGAAAATCTCTCTTATTTGTTGATCAATGAAGATTATTGACTTATTTTTGGCGTTCCGGTTTTAATTATTATTTATCTAGCTGTACCAAAAATTGGTTCCTTTGGCAACTTTAAAGTTGTCTCTTTTTCTGTTGTTTGGAGAGAAAATAACCCCCAAAATCCTGAATGAGGCGTGGTGACATTTCCGAGCCTCCGGAATTGAAGGTACAGTTGAGCCCATCTGCCCACCCATCAGTCAGTCCCCTCAGCAGCCCCCCCCCAGTCCACTTCATTTAACATCACACAGGGCACCACGTCTACGGGAGGCTGTCCTTCATCTTTGTCTCCTTCCTACTGGAGCAATTCTTCTTTATTTCCTTCAGGCATAAATTGGCTGACAAGCTAAATTACACATTATTTTTCAAATGATCAGACTAAATTACTTAATTACACTGTGTCCATAATAAAGTTTGTGCCATTCTTTAGCCTTGATCAACGGAGGAAAGACATTTGATTGCATTTGATATGCGCGCAGAGAAAGAAAGACGCTTTTTTTACATACACAGACCTTTTTAGTTGGGGTCTCGGTGCAGCAGCGCCCCCCTGCGGAGGAAACGTCAACAAGTGACCCACTTCCACCTGCAGGAAGTGCGCATGTCGTCTTCTTCATCTCAGGCTTTTCTCCTTGTCTGGACCATCGATATATCTGGACTGGGACTAAATTTAGACCATTAAGATAACATTGTCACAAATTAAATTAAATACGTCAGGCTTATATCCTCATCAATGCAAATAAACAAGCTCGGATCAATATCGTAAAAATACTACGCAATCCTAATTTTATAAATGACGTTTGCCTGTGTAATTGCAATACATTCATCCAACATACGGTTCACCTACTTCTACTAAAGTATACAGAATGTGTTAAAAGAGAACAAGACAACTTATAGCGAAATACCCATTTTTCCAGGTTTGTTTTAACGCCACATAAGAACGGTTTGTTTTGGTCACGTGATCGGAAGTGTGCGTCGGACGGTCATCGCTATTAGGAAGTGTGTCTATTTACAACACTTGAACACACAACTCCGAAGCCTCCAAATACAACAATGACGTATCCGTTGTCGGAGGATTCCGAGTGTTTCCAATGAAAACGCTCCAGGTTGGTTCCGTCTTTCAGTCCTTTTTCACCGGCAGCCGCCTCTTCGTGCTCGTGAGTGACGTTCCTCAACCTTCGCGAGCTAGTTTGAGCTAAGTGGCTAACGCTGCCTAAGATCACATAACCTTTAAATAACTTCCATCCGATGGCATTTTCAATATCAGTCAATGTCGGAACTTCGTGTGTTGACGTTCGTGTAACTACCGTAATCGCTCCCCGCCAAGTGGTGTCCTTTGACCGGCTGGTCGGGCTGGCGTGGACCCTGAGCCGGCTGGATGTCCCGCTGCTGCTTTGATGCTAACTTTAGTTGAGTTAGGGTCACGTTAAGCTCCTGTCCCGCAGCCAGTCAGCGGTAAGCCATCGGCTGTGATTAGACACCGTCAGGCCTCCACCTCCAGACTGTCTGCTCCATTCTGAAGTCACTAAGTTCTATCTACAGTAACAAGAACGGTCCGATGTCTGTCACGCGTGGACCTCCTCACCTGTGAGGGCTTCGAGCGAGACGTCAGAGATTCCTCCCCCCGTCTTGGAGAAGCTCTGGTCCGCCCTGAGGCACCAGGATGTTGGAGGGCCTCGTTGCCTGGGTGCTAAACACGTACCTGGGGAAGTATGTCAGCAACCTGAACACGGATCAGCTGTCCATCGCCCTGCTGAAAGGTAAACGTGCACATCCACCCTGCTGCTCATCGGATCCACACTTAACCTAATGTACATGTGTATTTCCTCCCTGCTATTGGGAGAGTAAGTCAGCCCAAACGTCCTGTTGCTCCTCAGGCGCCGTGGAGCTGGAGAACCTCCCTCTGAGGAAAGATGCCCTCCGAGAGTTTGACCTGCCGTTTGAAGTCAAAGCAGGTGAGACACGCTGAACGATGACCTCACAAAATGTACCACCACTAACAAAAACTACACCAAACAAAGTCTGAAAGGCTCTCATAAACTCTCTGTGTTGGACCTATGTGCTTATGTTTGGGTTATTTGGGGAATTGATGGATTTTGTTGAGCTAAAACCTTACTGGAGCTGTAGAAGGAATTAAGCAAGAGCTGACAATGTGCTCTTATTTGGTAACCACTAATAAATGAATGAATTTGTATGGGGCAAGTGTATTCATCCCTTTATAGATGAGCCCTGTAACAGGGGCTATGATGTCAAATGGAGACCACATACATTATTTTGTCATTATTTAACCCAGCTCCAACACATTAGTAATAAATTGAAACAACAAGCCAACATGACTGAAAGGTTCTTAGGACTTGGAGCTGAAATGTCCCGTCAGCAAGTTGTGTCTGTTGTAACAAAGTGAATCTGGATTTTAAGGACCAGGAAGCAGCATCCTTCATGACACGTACCTGCTCTCACTGTTGATTTCAGTCCGAGTGACTTTTAAATAGTGGGAAGAGACCAAGATAAACTTCAGTCCTCGAGACGTTGCTTCTGAGAGAACGCTGCAAGAGAACCTAATGTCCCTAAAACCTTCTGACTCAACTCACACTAACAGCTGAATGAATCTTTATTGCATAAATCAACTGTTTGCTTCAAGACAACGTGCCCGTCTCCGCCAAGGGAACTGTGTATATACACGTGCATCTTAATTCATTAGAATATCATCGAAAAGTTCTGATTTACGGAGTCGTATAGATCAATTTGACACAGTGTGATACATTTGAATCGTTTGTTTGTTATTTTGGATGATTATGGCTCACACCCACACTCGGTACCTCAGAAAATGAGAATATTGCCACCTCACGGTGCCGCGCTCTAGTCAGTGAAGCAGGTTTCCTGAGTCTCAGTCCGGTTCAGTAGGATACAAATATATCAACCTGTGTGAAATTAATCTATATAATATATAAGCTCCACTTTTGCCTTGAATTACCGAAATAAAATCAACTTTTCGAGGACCAGGCTCCTTTCAAACGACTCATTTAGCTGTTGTCAGAAGAGACGATCCCAAACACCCACCTACCCGGGTCAGAACCACCTGATTGGCAGCTCGTTCCCCCGTTGTGTGACATGTGCATCACATTGTGTCTCTCCAGGGTTCATCGGAAAGATCACTCTGCAGATCCCTTTCTACCGGCCTCACAGCGACCCGTGGGTCATCTCTATGTCCCAGCTGAACCTCATCATCGGCCCCGCCCATCAGCAGGAATATGATGGAGAGAAGGAGAGAGGGGAGGAGAGGGAACGCAAAGCATGCCTTCTCAAGGCTCTCGAGGACAAATTCAAAGTAGGTGGATGACCACTGTGCACTGTTTCACGCAGCGGGGCTCTGGTCTCTCACACGAGAACACGCGCGGTTCTGTTCTGGCAGCGGCAGAGCGGCTTTACGCGTCAGAATTGTCGTAAAGGTCAAGTTGAATAACTGAATGGAATTCTTCTTGTGTCTTTGAAGATCTTTTGTGGTTGTTGCTCGTGTATGTAGTGTGCGTAGTATGTCCCCTTTGTGACTTTTCTTTGTAAATGAACTTACATGCATACGCACCTTCTTACCAGGTGTGCTGTGTGTATTTGCATGTATTGGTGATTGTGTGAATTTGTCTCCTGCAGAGTGAGCGCGAACAGAAGGGAGAGTCTTACTGGTACTCGGTGGTCACTAGGATTGTGGAGAACATTGAGGTAAGTCAGCCTATTTGATTGGTTCTTAGCAGTCGCCACGTGTCCTTCCCTGATTTGTCACACAAACAAACATCAGGGTTTCCAGTGATTCCTTTAAACATGAAGGTTGTTGTTGTTGTTGTCTATACTAGCAGCTGTTGTGCAGTTGCACTCTGCATTTGACTTATTACTTAGTATATATTGACTCCCGGGCTATATTTTGCGCCCCCTTGTCTACTTTGTACTCCAGGGTAACTTTCAGGAGAACTTCCACATTGTCGTTGGCACTCAGGAAAAACAATCCATCCACCGTTGCTTTTCTGCAACTAAACCAACTGCAGTGTAATATATATATTTGCACGGTCACACGCATGCCCAGTGTACGCAAATGGTCATGTGATAGACGTTTGGGAAAGTTGCCGCGTGGATGCAGATCATTCAGTGTTTCCCACAGATCCAACGTCAATGGGTGGCGGCTGGGGGCTGACCGGGGAAGGGGGGGGGTAATTCGTCCAATATTCATTTGTAAGACAAAACTTTATTGGAGTAAATACAAAACAGGGATTCACGCCTATACAAACGTCGTACTAAATGCGCATAGTCTGCAACTTCGGTCGGAGCAACAGATTTTGAGGGGCTTGCTAAAAAAAAAGACACGCGAGACGTGTGTGTGTGTGTGTGTGTGTGTGTGTGTGTGTGTGTGTGTGTGTGTGTGTGTGTGTGTGTGTGTGTGTGTGTGTGTGTGTGTGTGTGTGTGTGTGTGTGTGTGAGAGAGAGACACAGAGGGAGAGCAGAGAAAGGTAAGGCAGTTGAACAAATACGCTGCGAGATTTAAATAGCGTTAAAAAAAAAAAGAAAAAAAGTTACCTGACGCCTTCCTGCGTCCACAGAAAGGACAGAATATTGGACATCCAAAACGTGCAAAACATAACAAGTGAGACGTTAGAAGTAGCACAAATAATAATAACCAATAGTACAGTCACATACGTAATGCAGTCGAGGACTAGATGTCAATTTTCCAGTACATCTGTAATTTATACAAAGAAGCGCCCGATGACTGAATCGGTGGAAAACGTCGAGTAGTTAGTGGCCTGAGAGGCCTTTGTTTGTTTTGTTAAATGACCCAATACTACCTGTGGTGAGGAGGTAGTAAATTCCATGCATTGTTTGCACAGTTCTCATATATAACATGTATATTACTACATGTGAGTGAATAAACAATACAGAAGGGACATTTGATTTCCACTGAGAACCAAGAGTTTAGATATGCTGTATTAATTCTTATTGAACACTGGACTGCTGATCTGACAGCACGCTTTTGGACCAGTATCGATTTGTTTGTGTCTTTCTTAGCACCTAATAGAGCATTAAATAAGCAAACAACTTTCTGGTCATAGCTGTGCCCCGCCCCCCATTTTAGTGATCGTGCCCTCAATGTGCTCAGACCATCATCTCACCCAGCAGTTTGGTCCTCTTGTCCTCACCCAGCAGTTTGGTCCTCTTGTCCTCACTGTTTCAATGCTCCTCATTATAGAGACGTTTTACACCTAGGATCCATTTAACAGTCGGGGGCCCATAGAAACAGTCAGACAGGGTTTCCTTGCTGTTTTGTCCTTCCAGTGACCATTAAAATATCTCTTCCTCAAGGCATGTCAAAGTGATTGAATAACGGACTGCACTTTGATTTCCTTCTGCTTCTGTGCAGCTGAAGATCCAAGACGTGCATCTTCGATTTGAAGATGACTCGTGCAACGCGGAGAAACCCTTTTCCTTTGGGGTTTGCATCAACAATATTTCTGCTCAGAACCCCTCCAAAGAGACGGTAACTGTCCACTCAAAGGGACATAAACTCCACTTTCCTTTTTTGTGTCGCCTTTGAATGAAACGAAGACCCAAATGTTTAGTATATTTAAGTCTACGTTCAGTTCTCAACTGTGTCTCTGAGAGAATATGTGTTGCCTGTCAAAATCTAAAATGCTGTCAATGTACCATAATACAATCTGATCTATTTATTGAGTCAGTTAATATTAGATATTGTGAAAGTCAATAGTACTTTGTATTGGCCTGATCCTCGGGACACTCTTCCCTTTTATTTTAGTTTTTTGTATTTAAGTGTTGTACTGTCATTGTTGATCATAGGTGTGTATTTGACGTTAACGGGGACTTTATTTTTATTTTCAGGTCCAGAAGCTCCTCCGACAGAAGCAGCTGGAGATTTCAGACTTCAGCGTCTATTGGGATACGCAATGTGAAATCCTGGGAAAGCTGCCCGCAAATCAGATCCAGGTCAGGGACTCGATGGGCTTCAACCCTATTAGATCTGACACACACACAGCTTTGATTGATGAGGGTTCCTTGTTTGGACCTGTTAAAGGTGCCGTGTGGTTCCAGGTGTCACTGAATGTTAAACCATAGCTGCACATTTTTCCATAGGAGTGGTCTGATTGTTTTGTAACCGTGCAGGATGCCATGACCCGGTGTATGCAGAGCCGCGAGCATCAGTACATCTTTGAACCCGTGTGTGCCTCCGTGCTGCTCAGGAGAAACACCTCTAAGGAGCCTCTGAGGTCCCGCCACACGCCCCGCATCGAAGGCCAGGTTCAGCTGCAGCCCATGTGCTTACGCATGTCGCAGGTCTGTGTGAACCACTTACATGTTACACATCATTTCTCTTGGGTTGTAAGAGAAGAGGCTGAAATTTCCAAAGACCGTTTGACCTTTTCTGATTTCATTCTCCAAACCTCTGTAGGTAAAACTTGAAATAAACCCTTTACCATGATACAAACATTTACACCAGGGCCCTGTTGTGACTGCCCGTATCCCAAATTGAGCGAAGCGTCTTATGAATAGGGTTTGTATTATTTAGTTGTATTCATTTCCAAAGACACACATTTAAGGGTTATGAAATACACAATTTTGATTATTTCATTGATTATTTCATTTGAAAGGAGTTATTGAATAAACAGACCAACAGTATGTACATACATATATAATATTCAATCATATGTTCTAGTTGGGTATAAATCCAAATACTCCTCCTTGTTGACCTGATTTCTTCCAGTTGCTTCCAGTAAGGCTTCCATCAATGTTTAAATTAATTTAATCTATAAATAAAAATAAAAAGGCCAGTGTTTGCATCACCTGACCAATCAGTGTGCTGACAGCAGAGCAGCACACAGTACAGTTAAATAACGTAGAATATCAGACGAATACTGAAACACATCATTTAAAAAGAGTTGGATACAGGAACGACTGCTGGTAATGATTCCTTTTATTAATTGGTTTATAATATCACTGCTTCAGTAATCACTATACGTCCATGTGTGTATGTGTTGCTTAGATGTGTCATGTGTGATTCATATTTTAGCCTTGTTCTTTCAGCTAATATAAAAACATAATTCACGGTAAGAAGTTTCCTTCAATAACTGGACCGCAGTCCTGGAAGTTGATCTGTATCTCAAATATAACCCGCTCCAGAGCAGGTTAGCTGACTCAAGTAACCGTGGCAACCTATTCCGTTAAGAAGTGAACCGCGCATTTGACCTGAAGTGACCTCGCTTTAGTGCAGGACAATATTCACAACTAGAGCAACGCAACAACCAATCAGCAATACACCAGCGTTGTGAAAGGGAAACACAAAACAACAAGCTCTCATATCTCAAAGCTGCTTCCAACGGCAGTAACCTATTTTTTTTGACACGTCCCGTCAGCTGCCTGTAGTGTGTTATTGACATTTGACAAACAGACTCTGTATGCACGTCGAAAGGTTGTTGGTTGCTGTGATTGAGGGTCAGAAAAAAAAGAGTCACATTAAGATCCACCAAAGTAGTGTTACGTACTATCATACTATCTTCAGCGGAACAAGGATGATATCTGTGGCCGACGGTGGTTTTGGTCCCACTGGAATCGCTTTGGACAGAATCTCTTCATTAGAGGCGGGACCAACAACAGAGAATTGATCAGTAAATCAAACCGTATCAGAGATAACAGGCCTCGCTGTCTGTCGCAGACCCTAGTTTGGCCTTTTTCATGGCTCAAAAAAATAACATCCACTTTCAATCCTAAACCGAAGCATCTGTGGAAAAGTTTTTATCCACTAAAGTCAGTTACAGAGGGAGAATAAGAATAACTTTACTGTCATAGAGGCAGGCTCTGTGAGATGCAGCGACTAAGTGTGTGCAATTGTTCCCTCGTAGGTCCAGTACCAGCAGATCATGGCATTCCTTAAAGAGGTGGACCGTCGGGAGAGAGAGATGCTTTACCGGAAGTGGAGACCAAAAGTTCCCATTTCTGGGAGGTAAGTTGACTCTTATTTCATCGCGGGCGCAAACACCCGTTTGGTCCTCGAGTCCGATCTGATCCCGTAGTGCGTTGTGTTTCCTCGCAGCTGCCGGCAGTGGTGGATGTTTGCGATCCAGGCCAACCTGAGTGAGATCAGGGAACAGAGGCGGCGAAGCAGCTGGGGCTTTGCCCTGCAGCGAGCACGAGATGCTCAGACCTACACTGGCCTCTACTTCGCTCGGCTTAAAGGAGCTCCACTGACTTCTCAGGAAGAGGTACTATGCCGTAATAATCAAGTTGCACGTAATCAGTCAATTAGTGGATTCTACGTTCTAAAACAGTCAAAAAGGAAATGCAACCAACTAATTCTTTGTAAAATGCTTACGATTGTGAATTTGTGCTGGTTGTATATGACAGTAAGCACAATATCTTAGAGTTCTGGACCGTTACTTGACGATGAAAGACACTTCATTTCACTGATCTTCGTCACCTAGAGCGAGCTGGAGCGAGTGGAAGAGGAGCAGACGTTGGAAGAGCTGCAGTGCCTCAGAGAAATTGTCCACGACTGGTTTCGAAAGCAGGAGGAGATCTCCGAGGTGAGCTGACATGACTCAGCTGTTCCAACATGTCCAAAGGGGTTTGTTGGATGAGAATTTCCTCACGTTTTTTAACCTTCAACCGATGATATAAGGACGACTGCTTCCAATCACCCATTAAACCTTCACTGATCCTCTACAAGTGTCTCAGTCATCGTTTCAGCCTGTGTTCTTCCTCTGCCCTTGTCCAGTACGTGCGCGAGCCCAGTAGTGACTCCCAGCCCTGTTTAGCCACCACATCCATCCCCAAGAGTGGCAGTTCAGGGATGATCCAGTACCTGCAGTCCTGGTTCCCGGGCTGGGGGGGCTGGTATGGAGACTCCCAGGACCCAGACAGGCCGGACGAGCTGCTGCCAAGCCCCTCCTCCTGGGACATCTTAGGTGAGAGACTGTTAGTGGCCTGGGCATTTTTAAAGTTAGTTTAATTTGCATTATATTTTAATGATATAACGGATGGAATAAGTCAAGAATACGCTTTAATAGATCAGCAATAAAAGTAGTTTTGTATCATTCTGCAGAAGTAGTTGAAACCTACTGACCCTGATGGTATAATGCGTCCTCAGCAGAGACAGAAGACCTGTTCGACCCATTGGAGGACTCTCACACTCTGAACACATTCACCAGGCGAGATCATCTGTTCGCCCGCCTTGAGTTTTTACTGGAGAAAGGCGGAGTCACGCTCTCTCACCAGGACAGGAGGGGGGGCGCGCTGCACGAGAGCGGGGTCATCCAGTTGGAGTTCTCAGGTACGCAGACGAGTGTTGGGACAGATGCAGACGTGCTTCAGGGTTTTCTCTGTGGCGAGTGTATCGATACGCCGATTCACTTTGCACAAAACAAGATTTAGGAGCCTTTAGGCCACTGCCGCCCTATGAGTAAGCTGTGCGGGATATGGATGAAGTGTTATATTACCATTGATTAATGAACTAATAAGATGTTTCGTTTTTTGTTAATATTTTACAAATAAAATAGGAACATTTAAAAAGCCAATGTGACCTGGCTTATTGTTGATGCTTATTGATGCTCGCCCGGTTGATCACCCTGGTATACATGTCATCGAGGTCGTCAAATTGAATCGTCAATGTTTTTGCTTTGATAATTTGGTTGATCTTTTATCGAGGGAAATGTCAACCTCTCTCTGCTACTTCTGTTTCATATCATGTTTAACTGATTATCTTGATTTCGACTGCTTATTGGGCAAATGACCTTTTAGCCCATTTCAGCTACCAAAAAAAAAAAAGAAGGTTTAGAAAGTCGGAATTCTGAGATAAAAAATGATGACTTAAGATATGCGCGTGCGCAGGTTCCTTCGTTGTTTGGTACATTGACTTTCCAAACCCTCTTGGCGACTTCTTGTCAAAAGCGACCGGCGACCTTATCTGGTTCTATTGGAGACGTTTGTGGCGTCTGGCGTGACGTGACCGAAGCAGAAACCTGGCGGCTCGCAGCAGACCGGCTGCAGTCAGAGCACAGCGGAGACACACGTCACGTGCAGGCTGACATCAACGCGCAAAGCCGCCGCTGATTCTGCAGCGTCTTTCCTCCATTGAGGAATTGGCAACACTAGATCACCAAAGAGAGAACTCTTCAATCGTTACTAATCGCGATAACTACGGAATAAATACCACCCGGAACGTATTTGATTTATTTCGGACTCGGAAATACCAAAGATAATTTAGACTCCGCTAAAAGTCCCTGTCCTCCCTGTTTGTTATGAGAGTGGAGTTGAGCGGCTGCAAGTGTCCGTAGGACGTTTACAGTTTGCTAAAGATATCGATATCGATATCGATAAAGATATATTCGCCAAGATATTCACAGATTCGGACTTCCTGGTTTAATAGCTGCTCAGCGAGACTTTGTTAAACACAAACTACACCTCCGTGTGACCGTAGTCATCAACCAAGTCATAATTTCGACTTTCTAACCCTTCTCTTTTCTATTTTTTTGTGGCGGAAATGGGCTTCCATAATTAACTGACTGTTTGCAAAGAAAACGTTAATCAAGTCATTGTAAAGATGATGGACATATTCTTAGATATTGATTAAGCGTTAGTTAAAATAAAAAATGAAGAGGGTTGCGTGAGCAAACAGTGAGTCTGGATGCGTAGTCTGTTGCGCTGACTCAGCATGTGGCCGTGCGTCCACAGGGGTCAACGTGATCTTGGAGTCCCTCCCTCGCTCTGAGTCCTCCCTGCTGTCGGTTAAGCTGGGTGGTTTGTTCCTGAGAGACTTGACTACTCAGGGCACCATCTTCCCTGTCCTGGTGTCTCCCAAAACGGTGAGGAGTGACGGACCGGCCAGAGAGCTCGTGATGTTTGATTATTGTTCCTCACTCACTCACTCATGCTTCTCGTATGTTATGTCCCTGGATGCAGGACAAAGTGGTTGTTGCCATGAACCAGCCATCCGGCCAGTCCACCAGTTCCACTGGTAAGATTCCTCCTTCCTTCTTTAATGATAGATGGCACTTCAAAGAGTTTTTTTGCATTAAAGGAAGTTCACATTTTTAAAGACCGCTCTTCCATTTTTTTGTTAATATTTCTGCCGTGCTATTGGTGTTTATAATAGAATTCCAGTTTACTCAAAACTCTTTAGGAACTTATTGTTACATATTTGTCTTGTTTGTGTATATTATATTACAATGTTACTTGGCCTCTGCCCAGTCCCTTCTACATAGTTGCTAAGCTATGGTTATGGTGCTTACAAAATATGCAAAACACGCAAAATGATACGGTATCATTAGGGCTGTCAACATAAACGCGTTAATCTATGCGATTAATGTGGCTGAGATTAAAGCGACAAAATATTTTAACATACGTAGCTTTGACCGTGGAAACGAAATGTCCGCTAGCTGCAGTCAGTGAGATCGGAGAAAGCTTTTCGCATTGGAAGTAAAACGAACGAACGGACGTACAGCAGAGAACTGTGCAGAGGAATTCCTCCACCTGTCAAACTGAAGCTAAAGCACCACCTAAAGCACTGCTAGGCTAAGCTTGCTGCTACTTCTGATATCTAATGTTACCCTGCGTGGCACACAGTCTGCAGAGGACCACCGCTGTGTCCCTTTCAGAACATTGTAACAACAACATTCATTAAGCACGTGTTTAGTCAAAGTGTGTTCATGTTTAACAATCAAATTGGACTCCATTGGACAAAGCACTCCCTTTTGTCCCTAACAACACGCAAGTCTCAAGTAGGATCGTGGGTAAGTTCTCTACAGTTCTCTCTGTACGCACAGAAGGACAGCGATTCCTTGCCCTATAGTTCGTAGAAGTTTAAACATACTTGTACTGTCATTCGGTCCGGTGTCCTCGACACACAAAAGGCTGATTCTCTGGGAGTGTAAGGACACATCCAGCTCTTAATGCACAAAAATCAGTTTGTTTTCATTGCTGTGTTGTCAGGATGCACTGCAGAGTGCTCGCCATCGCCAGTGTTTGAGATGATTTATGAGCGCAACCCTGTGAGGTGTAAGTTTGAAAGGAGGCTGGAGGTGAACACTAGTCCATTGAACATCATCTACAACCCACAAGCAATCAAGAAGCTGACTGAGTTCTTCTACAAAGGAAGAGTTCATACCTCGGGTAAGTACTGGCACTCACTGCCCCTTTTCCTTTCCTTTTCTTTACAGGTGTACTTTTTGGAACTTTAAGAACTAAAGTTGTTTGGGTTTTTTTTCTTACTCTTAGTCTCACTTTACTCTTTACTAATCTGCATCAAAGCTATACAGTATATACATTGGTAAAATCTTTCACAAGAGTTTTAAAGAAAGAACTGAGAGCACTCACCTGCATTCTACGTCCATTCAAACCAATTAATAATGGTAATAATTGTATTTGTCATTTACTTTTCCCACACTAACACCGCAACGCAGATTCCTGTATTTGAAATCTGATATCTCTTTTGGGTTCATGAGGTTTCGGATATCAGTCGGAGCTGGAGCTGAGAGTAGCGGAGGCTGCCAGGAGGCAGTACAATAAGCTGAAGATGCAGACCAAGGCAGAGATCCGACAAACCATTGATCAGCTTCTTGTGGGAGAGTTTATCGTAAGAGGGATTCCCCGGACTTGACATGAAGTAATTGGCACTTGAATAACTTCCAAATGCCGCTAAATGTTTGTTTTGTAGGAAAACGGTAAGCGTTGGACCATGAAACTGGACATCTGCGCGCCGCAGGTGATTTTCCCCGATGACTTCCAGTCAGAGGACCCGATGCTAGTGGTTGTTGATTTAGGCAGGATTCTTCTCACAAACTGTCAAGGTAAACCATTTGATCAAATGTAAAATAAAATGATTTACTAGGGCTGGGCAGTTTGGCTAAAAATGTATTTCACAGTATTTAGTAAGATTCTGGCGGTTTCACGGTATATCTCGGTATTTTTTTTTTTCTTCGAGTAAACTCATTCATTCATTGACACCGAAAAGGACCTGCCGAAGAGCGACTTCATTTTTTAAGGCTTTGACGGTAAATCAAAAATTCATACCGTATGGAAACTCTAAACCGGTATACCGCCCAGCCCTATGACCTACCGAAATAGCTTCATTATTATGCTTGCGTAGGTTTATAACTTTGGTCTTACCTGTTGTTATTCCTTTCCATTGAAGAGGAGACTAAGGCCAACTCAAAGGCTGCTGAGCCTGAGAGGGAAGACATGAGTGATGATGAGTACCAGACACCCCTTGCCACCCCGCCAGAGTCTCCGGCACCAGAACTAGACATGCCTTTAAAAGAACAGCTCAAAAGCTCTAACCTTCCCAGCCTCAGATCCCCTGAAAGTACACAGGCCTACTGCAGAAAGCTTTATGAAAAATACTCCTTGTCCTTTAAGGATCTCCAGATAATGGTTGGTCGCTATAAGGACAACTGGAAACATCTTCAAGAGAGTGAGGTAGGGCCTACTCATGTAGTAGAGAAATTTAACGTGCTGCTGCAGCTTGAGCAGCGACTTCGCTACACGTCTGACCCCCAGCTCCCTGGGGCTGTGCTGTCAGGAACTCTGCCTGACCTAAAGGTCCATATCAACCTTGAGAAGATGACCGCCCTTAGGAGTTGTCTGGCTAGGCTGAGCACTCCATCTTTTAGTGAAGACAACAAAAGCCAAGAGGGAAGTCCACATATAAGATCACCTGACCCCCTTACCCTCCGACATGACAAGATATTTCAGAGAGAGGACAGCTCCTGGAAGCTGCAAGGTTCAGCCAAGAACCTGACCCACAGTGTGATGACGTTAGAGCAGCACACAAGGGAAGTCCTGGTGGAATCCCGTCTACTATTAGCTGAATTCAACATTAACTACATGCAGCTTGGGGTAGAAAGCGACGGCCGCTACATATCGGTTCTCAAGGTATTTGGCACAAATGCTCATTTCGTCAAGCGTCCTTATGATGCTGAAGTCTCTCTGACTGTCCATGGTCTTCTGCTGGTGGACACATTACAGACCTATGGGTCAGACTTTGATCTCCTCGTGGCTTCTCATAAGAATCTCAGTTTTGACATACCCACGGGCAGCCTCAGGGAAAGCCAGCCATCGTCCCCTGTGTCTTCTGATGGGAGGTCCCCTGACCACCAGGGCCATCATACTGGGTTGTCCTCTGGTATGCCCATGGATAAAATCTCCCCCTTCAGTTCTTTTCTCAAAGACCAAGAGGCCCTCATTAAGCTTGAATACCAGTTTGTGAGCTCAGACTGCCCCTCCATGAACCTGGACAGCTCCCTTCAGGTGACAAGCATGCAGGTCAATAACTTGGACATCATTCTGAACCCCGAAACCATGGTAGAGCTGCTCAAGTTCCTCCAGAAGTCTTTTCCCAAAGAGGAAAGCACCTGGACACCGTCAGTGCCGCAACCAACAGCGCAACATTCCAGTGAGGAAGAGGAGGGGACATATCAGGCCACCTATGACCAGAACAAAGAGCTGACCGTGGAAATCCACCGTCTTAACCTGCTTCTCCTTCGGACCGTGTCCACTGGCACTGTCCTGGGTGCTGAGAAAAAAGGGTTAAAGATTGCCACTGCCAGCATCACTGGCACCAAGGTCAATGTGTCCATGGGTAGCCGGTTGGACATCAATGGCTCACTCGGGTCTATGCAGTTGGTGGACCTGACCCAGGAAGGAGGCAGAAGCCAGTTTGTGGTCAGCATTGGTAGTGCTGACAGTCCCTCAACTCTCGGCGGGATAACTTTCCTGGCTGATACAGGAGGTTCTCCCTCGGATGCTTTAGATTTTCGCCTTATGGAGAAATCCCAGGGCGAGTGTTCCTTGCAACTTCAGATGGCATCCTTGCACTATAACCACTCTGCCAAGTTCCTGAAGGAGCTGAGTCTGTCTGCTAATGAGGTAGAAGACAATTTCCGTTCCATGCTGAAAAGTGCTGCCACCAAAGTGTCAACAGTTCTAGTCACCAAGACAGCAGAGTACAGTGGAATGGTTTCGCTCTTTGAGACTCCCTCGAGGAGAACTCGAACCCAGAGTCAGAGCTGGCCTTATCCGTTTGAGGAGGAGGAGGAGGATCTTCCCACGGAAGAACCTGAATCCGCCTTAGACACGTTCTTGGTGAAGCTGACCCTTAATATCAGCATTGAGTCACCGGTTGTGTCCATTCCACGCAAACCTGGACACCCTGAGCTTTTGGTTGGTCACCTGGGAAGCATAACAATCCAGAATTTTGTTACTGGGCAAGACTCTGAAGGGGAGAGGCTGCAGGTGTTGGTGAAGGACATTCGACTGTATTCAGTCAACATGAGTCATCTGGTCTTGAAGAGGGCACTCCGAGGGGATACGGCTGGTGGCATGTCGCCATCCCGCAGTGGAAGCATCAATCAGGATGAACCACAGTTCACTCGTCATGACTTCTTTGAGTTCCTCAGCCGTGGAAAAGGTAAGAAATGTCAATCTGTTCAAATGTGTTTGCAGACATGTGTTTTATATGTGGCTTGGGATAGATGCTCACATAATCACTTTTCTTCATTAGCTTTCCATATATTGAAAGACACCACTATTCAGTTCACCCTGGAGAAAGTTCCTGTTGATGAAGACACGCAGTTCTCCTTCCTCACTGCAGAAGAGCCCTGCAAGAGCACAGGGTTACTAAGAATTGAGGGCAAATTCATTAACCCTGTTCAGGTATAAACCATATCAATACTGTAAATTCTCCAATATAAACCACTATTCAAATAACAAAAAAGTCCTTTCCTTTTTAAAATGTATTGTTTCCCCCTTGAACAAATAAATGCCAATTCCAAATAGAGGCCTTGTTGGAATTACAATGGCTATTCAGTAAATCACATCACGTAAATCCATCAGTACAATACTGTAGTCTTGTCAGACTCTCCCCACCACTCTGCTGTTATCTTACTTTTATAACAGATATACATATTTCATCATGTTTATCCGCTAAATCTTCATGACCGTTCCACCAAATATTGTCTAACGGTCTGTGAGGCAAAAAAGGTTGAGGACCACTACATATCATCAGCTCACTTTAGGGCAGGACATGTCACACTTTTGTTTATTCCTGTATGTGCATGCAGTTCAGTGACCATCCAGCATAGTTGGGTTTAACAGAGGTGTAATCAGATATGAAGACATCTGTTCAATGAAGCTTTTGATGTGGGGCTACTGACTAATTATGTCAATGTTTGACACTCTGGTTCCAGGTGTTCTTGTGCAAGCCTGTGTATGAACAAGTCCTCCAGACATTAGACAATTTGTCCCTGATTGAGGAGCAACGTGTCACACCCAGCCAACCGCCCACACCCCCGCCACCAACTCCTTCCTCCACCAGACCACACCGTTTTCCTGACCCCCAGGGAGGGCTGTTTGCAAAAGACCCTCCCTATCTCAGCTTCTCCCACACGTCGCTCTCCTCCCCCTTGCCGCTGCAGTCTCACCAACCCGCTCTTCACAACTCGTTCACCCAGCTGAAAATCACCTTACACGTGGCAGAACTGCAGGTCCAGCTCAGTGCAGACTTGTCTCAGGGCTCCCAGGGCTTGGTCAGCCTGCGCTTCCAAGATCTGGAGGGAGAATTTACCAAAGACCACCCTCAACTACTGACTGTCCAGCTGGCTCTGCGCTCGCTGCTAATGGAGGACCTCCTGGAACAGAACCCTGAGTCTAAGTACAAACATTTGATGGTGTCTCGCGGAGCACCCAAGCCCTCCACCTTCAGTCCAAAGGAGTACCTTTCTCAAAGCTGTCCTTCAGCCTCCAATGCCCTGTTTCCAGACATGCCTCGCTCCCTGCCTGCTCACATGGAAGAGGCCCGGAACGTCTTCCAGCTCTACCAGAGGCATCCCAGCACCCCTTCAGCCAGCAGTCGCAGATCCAAGAGGGACCCGGAGTGTCCCAGCACTCCACCTCCCTCCCCCACCCACCATGCACCGTCCCCTCAGCCACCCCCAGACTTTGATGAGTCCTTAGTTCATATCAATGTGATGCTGGTGGACCAGAACCACCCGGAGTTTAAAACACGCTATGGCCGAGTGGGCCGAAGCGTGGACGTTGATTTTAACTGCCTGGACGTTCTGATCACGCTGCAGACCTGGGTGGTTATCTTAGACTTCTTTGGCATTGGCTCCACGGCCAATAATCATGCTGTGAAGGTGCCCCCTACGGCACCACACGCTGAGCCCGGCCATCCCCTGTACGAGCCATGTCTCAGTGAGGAGGAGACCACAGAGGCCGTCAACACTAAAGTGGATGTAAAGGTAGGTTACTGGAGCCAAATGGTACGTTTGTGCAAAAGCTGCAGACTGACCTCTGCACTTGGCGAGACACCCGAGCACATTAAGTTGCCGTTCATAATTCTGCAGGGCAAGAATGTAGTGGAAACACTTTTTCAGAGGACGAAAGCTACTGATTTTGTTGATCCATTTATCACCACCAAACTGATTTACATTTACAATGTTGATAGATTTGCAAAATATTACTAGATAGTCATAGTATGTGACTTTTATTGGCTTTATTTCAGACATTCTCTATGATGATTGGATTTTAATTCAACATCCAGTGTGTATTTCTAGGCTCTCTGCTTTTCTTGATCAGAGCTCTGAATAGAATTTTTGGTGATTGTCTGCCTGTGATGTCTTCATTTTTAGGTCCATTCTTTGTCTCTTGTCCTGAACAAGAAACTCAACGAGCTTGCCAGAGCTAGTGTGTCCAAATTATCTGCTCATCTCGAAATGTTGGGTGCGTATGGACAACGACTTAGCTTATTTGTGTATATAAATATTAGGGCTGTCAACATGAATGCATAAATCTAAGGGATTGATGTGGCCTGGATTAATGCAACTAAATATTTTAACGTAGTTAATGTTTGTTTGTTTACTTCTGGTACCGGACGTAAACCAGAACTATGCAGAGGATTTACTCCACGTGTCAAACAGAAGGGGGTGAATGGCAAACGGAGCACATAAAGCACTGCTATGTTATGCTAGCTGCTAGGCTAAGCTAGCTGCTATGCTACTTCCATCTTAAGATCTAACGTTACCCTGCGCGGCACACAGTTTGCAGAGGACCACCACTGTGTCCCTAAAAAACGTGGTTTGAAAACGTCCTGGCTACATGTAGGGAGATTGTTGGCACTTCAAACACAGCCGTTATGGAGGAAGAGTCGCAAGTTCAACATGTTCCAGGTGGAATTCTGTCTCAAAGATAATCAAATTTGTGTAGTTTTGTGTTTAAAATAACATTAACAATTAAACAACAGTGTCTAAAATAAACACTTTCTAACGTGATTACTCATTACTTTTAAGATTTGGTCATCAACATTGTAACAACAACATTTATTAATCGCCATTAATCGAGATTAATGAATTTCAAAATGTGCGATTAATTTTTTTAAATCTATTGACAGCCCTAATAAATATATATATATATATATATATATATATATACAGTGCTGTGAAAAAGAAGTTGCCCACTTCCTGGATATTTCTTTCCCATAATTAATGTTATTATCATTTACCGCATTTTGTATTGACTCGGGTTATCTTTGAGTTTGTTTGATGATCTGAAACATTAAAGTGTGTCAGATATGCATTAAAAATAAGAAACCAGGAATGGGGCGAAAACTTTTTTATGGCATTCTACATGTGTGTCTTTTACTCTGAGGCCGTGGTTCCCATACTTTTTCTGTCAGGGCCTTTGAGCATATTTCTCTCTCTCTCTTTCCCTCTGCCTCTTTGCTGCAATAGTCCGGTCAGTAGTGGCGAGAAATGAAGATAAAGGGGTCCTGTATTTGCTCATATAGCCTGAAATTGGTCATTTGGCCAATGTTTTGATAACTTACTGCAGCCAGTTTGACTAATTAATGGGAGCAGCGTGTGCGTACTTTAACTTGTTTCACTAAGACGTAACTGGAAAATGGGTTCTCAATTAATTAATTTATTTTCACATGCACGTTCAAAACTTATGTTCCTCTATTTTGTCAGAGTTGAAATGGCACCCTGAATCACGCCATGTTCCGATAATATGAACGGCACGTCAGTCTCAGTGATCGGCATGTTCCGTTCATATGAACGACCTGTTAGTCTGTTCTGATTGGCAGTCTGATTGCTGCTCTTGGGGGGCAGGCGGGGCGTTGTTCAAACACAGTGAATGTCTTTGTTTTTAACCGTTGTGGCTGTGTGTTTGGGTTGGTGATGAAACCGCAACCCACACTGAAAGCCCACTGCGCCTCCCTTGGGGGTCCCGTCACCCCAGTTTGGGAACCAATGCTCTAAGGGGTAGTATTTAGAAAATATATTCAGGAATGTGCTCCATGCAGTCTGTTTTATATCCCCTATAATTGTCCTTTAAGAGAAAATAGTTTGTTCTCTTATGGGTTAATGTTACTATATGTATGTCTTGTGATGTAGATGGCGACCTGGCTTTACAAGGCAGTTTAGGAAGCTTGTCCCTGAGTGACCTTACCCCACATGGCGATCTCTACAGAGAGCGCTTCACCACACAAGGCGGGGAGGCCCTGATCTTCAACATCCTTAAGTATATAACACAAAACCGAATAATTCAACATGCTACTGAAAAATCTGTCTTTCTTTGACTCACCTTTGTTCCCTGGTCCGTTTAGGTACGGCCGGCCCGATGCGGCTCTGGAGCGGGAATGTGACATCAAAGTGTCTTTGCAGATGGCCTCGGTGCAGTACGTCCACACGCAGCGCTTCCAGGCCGAGGTGGTGGCCTTCATTCAACATTTCACCCAGCTACAGGATGTCCTGGGCAGGCAGAGGGCTGCAATGGAAGGCCAGGCTGTGAGTGTTCCAGTTTGCACCAGGATTGTTTGATTGTAGTTTGATATTGCTTGATTCAGATAAGCAACATACAAGAACATACATTACTGTTCCAGTTTCTACAAAGCTCAACGTTTAGCTTGGGGAAAGTGCTCTTTACTAATAAATGGCATGTTGTTCACCAGAAGGAGGACAAAAAGCTGTGCAATGCTTCAACTAGACTGACAATATCAATTAATCATAAATTGTAATGCATCCAGCTAGAACAAGCTTTAATATTAACTTCACAATAGAAATAATACGTTATTGTAGAGTTGACACAAATCCCAGTTTAGACCTTTTCAGCCCACTGGCCCCATTCTAGGTCAATAATGATCAAGTGTCACTGATGCTTTTCTGCTAGAAAAAACAGTTCAACATCCAAGTTGAACTCGCTAACCCAATGTAAATAATGAGTTATACACTGTTATCTGTTGGAATAGTCATTGCTGAAGGAGAGACTTAAGAACATGAGTAGAACATGTATTTGTTATCCAGGAATAGTCTTGTTACTTTCCTCGGTTCCTCCTACATCTGTCCTCTTTGTCTTCTGTCTCTCTCTGCAGGTGCGTAATGTTCCTCAGCGGGCTTCCAGGGTCCTGCTGGATATTGAGGCCGGAGCACCAGTCATTGTCATTCCAGAGAGCTCTTGCTCGCCGAGGGTCATTGTGGCCAACCTCGGTCAGCTGAGGGTGCAGAACTGCTTCCTGCCAGCTGGGGCTCATGGGACTTTTTCCCTCCGTGACAAGGTAGAGAAACTCACCATGGCACACGCCTTTTTCCCTTCTCTGGTGAGTCCCGCTGCCCCTCTACCCGTCCGTACAGTGTGACCTGGCTGTGCTGTGTCTCCCCCTCCCTTGGGCTAATTTGAATGTATTCACTTGTGACCCAACATTAAACATTCAGGAGTCCCTCAGCCCACGTGGATTTTGATAACGCATACCGGGCCTCCAGAAAACCCATGGAAAACATGCACAGAGGATCCATCATCTTCTTCTTTATTCTAAGTAGCTGACCATATTATGTAAATCTGATCCAAAATACTTCATGAATAGAGAATTCCCTGAAGGTTTACTGTAGTATGCTCCAACAACTCACCACTAACGACTCTATTTGTCCCGTGACGGGCTTAACGAATCCAGACACAGTTGAAGGATGGATTTTTATTTTTATTCTATACTACTACTGCATAACTACTGTCAGACTTCCAAATTCCTGATCATGTCAAAATGTTTATAATGATGCTCATAAGGCGAGAATGATTGAACAAAAGAGTCCTCCTCACTGTGAATGAGTTAGTTTGGGTTTAAGTCTCTGACCACATCTACATGTTAAGCCACCTTAAGCAGCCAGGTGATGGAGCCGGCTCAGACAGGTGTGAGAACAGGGACATGTTCCCACTGTCATCTGTTTAGGGATATGAGAACACTAGATACATACTGTTTTTTGGTCTTTCATCAGCATCTTGTGCTTTTTTTGTGAAGAATTTTTTACTGCTGGCAAATTCCTACCAGGATCCCTCCCAGTACACGGTATAATAGCATGCTTTTGCTTTGCTGTGAAGAAGGGTTGTCACTCTATAACTGTTTTACTCTTCAATGTATCTGTCAACAAGTTTCCCAGTAGCAGAAACAAACCTCAATAATGCGTTACAGACAGCTGACAGAGGACAGGACAGTGGGTAGCGGCTACATTTCTCTAGTTGTTAATATTGTCCAGCCCGAAGTCCTGCGATACCCAGCAGGATCCAAACCTGATCAGTCGTTTGTTATTGGACCTTTGTGCTAGTGCCGGATCCATAAGGATCTTCATAAGGGTACTTGGTACCAGAGCACCCTAGGCCGTAGCCATGGAAGAGGCCCCGAGGAAGACCCAGGACTCATGTGATCATCATCAATCTCCATATTGGCCTGGGGACGCCTTGGGACCCCCCAGTCACAGCTGAGAGATGGAAGTTTGGGGTCGGTTGGCCCGGTTGCCCCAGCGACCCGGCCCCCGGATAAGCGGTTGAAGATGAGATGAGAGGAATTTATTACCAGCTGTCCTACCTGTATCAAACACTTTAAACTGTGTTACTCTCAGCCTAAATGATGTATTTAAGTATAAAATGTGCCACTCTGCTGACGCCGTGGTTGTGATTGGTCACATGATGCCAACCGACAGATTGAGAGAGCCCGCTTGATTTACTGAGTTGAAAACCATGTAATGGGATGGTGGGAATATGAACCCTGTGTGGGGAAACAGGGCTCTTGGTTGCAGTTTGCAGTTTGCGTTTGGTTACGTGATGGAGCGAGCTTTCTGCATGTGTTTGTAAGGAATACACCAACTTTCCAAGTTTCTTACATGTGTTTGTGTTTGTTGTGGCTTTTCATGGGATTCTATTTCTCAACATTGTAAAATCTACACATCATATGCACACAACAAAGACCCACAATTCTAACAACAAAGCAAAACAAGACCGCTATCTTGACTCAAGTTATCATGCACCCTCCCGGTCTTACCATCAGTACCCTTTATGTATTCTTTGATACAGTAGGAAACTTAGAATGCCAATGTTATTTCTGGCTGACGTGATGATGGCACAGAGGAGAATTCATTGAGCTTTCACCTGCAGAAAATAGTTTGAGTATTTTATATATTTTAACTAAAACGGGCAGAGAAACAGAATCATTAGTATTAAATATTTTCCGATTTAGTCATGTCTATTTTTGTGTTCTTTTGCTCCTTTTTAAAAAAATGAATCCTGTGTTTTTGCGATGATGCAACGTTCATATCGTTTCTTCTCTTCCCTTTGTCTTGGAAAAGGAGCGAGTCCAGAAAGCAGCAGAGAAAAGTGAGCGGGAAAAGCCGACGACGTCCCCGTCCACCTCCTCTGCAGGGTTTACCCTGGGCAGGCCACAGGTCCCAGACACGTGGAAGACCACTGAGGGGGACGAAGCCCACTGCTCAGGTTAGCGTAGCTGCATGGCTGAATAAACGCCACCCACTGGATCTACTGTTGAAACCGCTGTTAGTGACCTCCGCTGTGTTTTCCCGTCAGAGGAGGACGTGTGCCTGCTGGACTGCATCGCTCTGGACCTGCAGGAGATGGATATCTTTGCTGCAGAGTGTCTGCCCTCTCAGCCCAGGGACAGCGGTGGTAAACCTCCCGAGTCCTCAGACCTCATCTTTCCTTCGTACTCTGTGCGCCGCACCGGAGACAACCTGCTGAAAGACCGCTGCCGCCTCAAGCTCAAAGTGGAGCGCAACTTGGACAAGTAGGTCCTGCTTTTAGTTCTGTCTGTGGCAAACGTCATGGCCTTCTTTCTTCTGAAATCATGTTGGGGGGCTGTGGTTCTGCACGTAGTCTTTTTGTTCCTGCGCAGCAGCGGTTGGCAGACTCATTGTGTTTTGGATTGTCAGTCCATCTGTTCTCCAAAGGTCAGGGTCACTATGACCTCTCGTCTGTCCCATTTCTGTGAGTGTGATGTTTCAGGATAGTCTTTCTGAATTTGGCACCAACGTCCTCTTCAAGGTTTAAGACCGAGGTCTTCAACAGGGGGTCCGCCGAGGTACTGCAGGGGGGTCGTGACATTTTTTAAGTATTTATTTTTATTTTTATTTTTTCCCCCAACCAATTTCTTTTCCCACAAATATAAATGTCTTTAGAATTGTATTCATGGCATTTAAATACACATTAACATGAATCCAACTTATTGTAGCGAACGGATAAATTGATGAAGACGTTATCTTTCAGTCCACAACACACACATTGAGCTTCCCACAGCTGGTTCATTCACAGCTCCTTTCATGCTGATACGACATCACAGGCACCAGCCAATCAGATCGCGCTTATGCTCACGTCTAAAGAGCGCGAAGCTCAAAAATAAAAGATGGCGGACCAAACTCAGTGGGTTAGGGGGTCCCTGCTCCATCTCGCCATCAGTTTGGGGGGCCTTGGCCTGAAAAAAAGACCTCTGGTTTAACGGATCCAATTTAGTTGATCAAAGCCCCTGTGACCTCCCAAAACATATTGTTGTGCCAAACCCAATCCGAATCGAAACTTGATACACACTGCTGAGCTCTATCTTTCAGATGATGGCACTTCTCCCAATAAAAAGATGGTATGAGAAGCGCAGCGCTTTAGTACATCGAACATGGTGCCTGGTGCCTCTCGTTTTAGTCTGTATGGGTGTTTGGCCGTAACCCAAATTCAGGCTTGTGTTCATAATTGTTGTCAGGGAGCTTAGCCATGTGGTGCCAGACATGTCCATCCACGGCAGCCTTTCGTCAGTCCACTGCTCTCTGGACCTGGAGCACTACCAGCTGATCAGAGGCCTGCTGGAGAACAACCTGGGAGAGCCTGTTGAAGATTTCCTGAGACCCTACAACCTCCAGGACCCCAGCACTTATGTGAGGTTCCAACCACGAGACATCGTCGTATCCACCCCGATGTCTCTTTTAATCATCATTTTGTCCGTAGCTTGTAATAGCAGTCGTCTATATGTTCTAACAGACTGGTGTTTTGTCTCCGCTCAGACGGTGCTCAGTGGAGATGTCTACACCAGCCTGTCATTCCTGGTGGATATGATGGATGTCAGTCTGGAGCTCTTGGACAGCCCCACACCCACGGAACATAAGCGCTCATTAGCACGGTTGGCCTTTTCTTTTCTTCCATAATCACTGATTTCTACCAAAATATCACACAAACTCTACAGCTATAATGTTGGATGTTACAGGGGCGATAAAAAAAACACAGAAGTGTTTAAATCAGGAAGTTCAAATTTAAAACAATTTTGCAGATTGTATTGCAGTGTTTCCCCATGTTTGTTTACAACAGTATTTTGTCATCTTTTTCCTACAATGAAGAGAAAAAAGTTGCCATGTTGATGTCATTTTGATATTTCTCCTGCAAAGGTTTGACTTCATGAAATCCAAGCTTCTCTTTGAGAGTTTGTCCAATGGATCCAAGTCTATCAACTTGGTTTCTCACTCGCTGCTGGCGTACGACACTCGGCGCAGCGAGCCGAGCAAGAGCCCCGGTAAAGCCCATCGGGAAAGGCACAACGTCTTTGACTGCATCCTCCAGCCCTCCAAAACCGGCACGAACAGGGCGACACTGCAGCTAGAGCTGCACTATCGGTAAAGCGAGAGAGTTTTCAAGCTAACGTAACGTGTTCCAACATATAAGTAGTGTTGGATAAGAAAGAATTGGTCCCTCATGCTGTGTCCCTCCCTCTGACAGATCCACGCGGGACTCGTCCTGCTTCACGGTAGTCCTCAACAACCTAAGAGTGTTCCTCATATTCGACTGGCTTCAGCTTGTGCGAAACTTCCTGCGGGTCCCGGTGGAGAAGGTGTCCCGGGCAGCCGAGCCCCGTCAGCGTTGCCCCAGCAACGCCAGCACCGACTCTGGCTCCGCCCCCGCCGGCACTGTAGGGGCCGTCATGCCAAAGACCGTCAAGAGCGGTGTGGTCACCAAGAGGTCCACGGTGCCGGTCAACCAGGACCACTGCCTGGAAATCAAGATCAACGTCACAGGTAAGAGAAGAATGACCGATGGCACCGAACAAGGTACTGCTCACCCGGGCCGTGAACTGCCTGTCTGTCAATCGACGCGTTAGAACTAAAACATCATTGAAAATGGATGATTAAACACATCTGGTTAAAGATCTGTAAAAAAAGCGTATTTTTATTTTTATGAAGCAGATCTAGGTGCAGTGTAAATACTGAGACAGAGAGGCACACTCGCTTAAGCTGAGGTTTTTCTTCGTATTATATGAGCTCCTGGTCTGTGTGTGTCTGCAGGCACCGAGTTTGTGGTCGTGGAGGACTCGTCTTGTTTGGATACCAACGCCATCATTCTAAAAGGCACCACGGTCCTCACCTACAAGCCGCGGCTGCTGGACAGACCCTTCTCAGGCAGCCTGGCAGGAATCGAGGTGAGCCCCACTGCTGTCGTAGCACCGTTTCACTGTCGGCACTATTACTGAGACGACCGGTGTTACCACTGCTGCCATTTTAATCAAAATGTCAGAGTATTAAACAGATGGCACTGAAATGCTGCCACTGTTCTTGCCACTTGTACTTGCTCTTGCTGATGTTGTTCATTCTCCCACGAACAGCTGGTAATTGTGTTACTAAGTACGGAGATGCTCACCACTGACCCCTAACTTCAGATGGTCTTTTATTAGCTTTGATGCGTGGTCTCTTGCCCGTCCCAGGTGTTCTCCTGTCGACTGGGCAGTGAGCTGGAGACGGCGCTGTCCATCATCGACCCCGTCAATATTCAGGTGGAGCTGTGTGGGAGCCCCACGTACCAAAGCAGCTCCGGGCTCCTGGACGCCTTCAATGTTGAGGACATCCCACCGCTGCTGGAGGTCAGGAATGAACCCTCAACCAAAAGACATGACACTGACATGCTCAGATTGGTAATACAAGTCTGACAATATAGTGGAAAGGAGTCTACTGAGAAACGCAGCCTTTTTCCTCCATCTTCATCCTTCTGCTTGTTGTTGTGTCTGAACAACTCTGTGTGGCTCACAGAAGCCAGTCCTAAATAGAGGGAGTCTCAGGGAGTCAGACACCCCCCCGCCCCCCTCCCCCCTTGATAGGCTCAACAGCGGCAAGTGTCTGTCTCTTGCTATAGTGACCAAAATGTATTTTAAAACCATACTGATAGTTAGAATTCGAAACACAAGTTGGACTTCATCAACACAGCGGTCTGAAAAACATTCAGCGACGACACAAAATAGCTTTTAAATAACACTAGGCTACGCGTTCGGGCCTCCAACGCTGACAGCTGTTGTGAAATAACACTCAACGCTTTGGCCTCACACCCCACTGATACATGCTGCAGCCCTTCACAGGACAAGCATGTAACTGTCTGCTGGTGGCATCATTGTAGAACCGGAACAATGTAAATGAGCATCCACATCCACCATGTGATAGAGATGATCCCAGCATTGTGCCTCTCTGCTACTTTTTCTTAAGCAGTCCCCAAGTCCTTGCTAGGAAAGCCACGCCAATCAAGTCCTTCTCTCAGATTTGGCAAACCCAAAGCACAGAAGACGTTATACAACAGGAAGGCCGGTGCTCCCGGTCAGTGGTGACTTTAACTGTGCGTTTGATTCTCTGGCAGATTCAGTTTCCCTCTCTGGACATCCGTCTGTCCTATAACGACATCCAGCTCTTCTTGGCGATCACCAAGTCCATCCCCACCTCCGGCTCCGCTCCGCCCTCGGACTGTGATAGCAGACCTGCTGCCAGCACTGAGCCCACCACAGCCAAAGACAGCTTCAGGCAGAAGACTGAGGCCCTCATAGGTACGCGAAGACCAGTCATCTAAGGATCCGAATGAGAATAATCTAAATGTTTTTTCAAAAAATGTTTACTTTCGTCTCACTTTTAATCAGTGGCCAAAATAGATGAACATTTTGTAGTTGTGATTTTTGACATTTTGTAATTCTGCTACAGCTGTTTAGTCACTGTGACGTGCATAATGTTAGTCCGCTACTTATTGCTCTACTAAGAAGAGCTTTTCACGGGTGTTTGTCTCCACAGAGGGCCAGCTGACCCGCTTGCAAGACCTTGGCTTCAGGAAAGAGGACTGCAAAAGGGCCCTGATCCACTGTAAAGGTGAGTGAGACCTTCAACGCTGTTCCCCAGCGCTTGCAGTCTTGCCGCCATTATTTGATAAAACCGACAATGCGTCGTCCTCGTCCAGGCCAGCTGGACCAGGCTGCCACGTGGCTGCTGGAGAACGCTGACAACATGGCAGGCCTGGGCAGATCCAGGACTGACTCGGGCTCCAGCTGCCACTCGGCTCCTCTGTCTGGAGTGGAGGTGAAGGCTGAGAGCGTGTGCATCTGTTTAATCGACGACTGTCTGGACTGTGACATACCGCTGGCTGAGCTCACCTTCTCTCGTAAGTCCCATTCACACACGAGTCATGATGAGGGTTCTGAGGATGCTTTTCCTAATAACATATCCCGTATTATTAAAATTATGGAAAAATGTCAGACTCCGTGTGCAGATGAGGCAACACATCAACTAGTCAATAAATGTTTCCTGCAGCGCAAACGTTGCTTCTACAATGTAGTTAGGGCTAATTCTTCTGGCATTCACCAGCAATGGCTACTGCTGTCTACTCCTCTTTTTTATGTCTGTATCTCTTCCTCTGATCACGTAAAATAGTGTCTGAAACAAACAGACTGTATTTCGGTTGTCAAATCTCATAAATATTCAATTATTAGGATTTAAAGGCTGGTGTTTAGAGGTCTTCTTCTTTTCGTTTCACTGAAGCGAAACAGTTTCCCATTTTCTTTACACAGTTCTTTGCATTTGTATTGAAGTCTGGTCTTTGAGTTACAAGAGTTGGATAGTAGAGGGCAGACAAGGCGCTTGCGCCATAGTATGGTCTGCTTGACCACCACCTTGCCTCATCTGGCCACAGCAGCTTTTGACCTGCCCTGTTTGCCCTGTTCTCGTTCTGAGCCGGCTTAGAGTTTTGCATTGAGACCATGGTGCTCCTGGGCCAGGGGAAGGTTCAGGAGGGGCAATTTCCATGCATTTTCATCCACAGTTGGATTCTGGCCTCTTCCCGAGACTTTGTTAGGGGCCGGACATGGCTGAGAAAGCTTCTTCTTGCCTTTTGCTTTCCGAGGTAAACCAGGTTGGTAGAACGCTTGGTGGCCCAGAGCGTTTCATGGTAAGTGGATGATGGAAGGAGCAGACCTGGGTCTTTGCAGGGTTTGCATGTGTGTTGTTGCTACGTGTAACACACAAGTAGCTCATCTATGGCTGTGGTGAGGTTTAGTTCTACCGCTTCTAACATTTCTCTTGGGACGTTACACAGAGATGGCCCGCATAGATGGAACGCTCCGTGTTCTGGTGCGTTGGCTGCTCGTTGGTGTAGACGTTCTCTAGCAGTGGGGGCCGGCACGCTACCTTAAGGGAGGCCGTCCCGTTCCGGTTGTTATTCAGGACAACAAAGAAGAGCCTGTCTTATAGAAGCGAGTGAGTGCTAGGTGTTGGTATCAGTGAGATTGGGCGGAAGCGCTTTGCGTGCGCTGGGTCTTTGCCTGGTTTGAGGACGGCGGTAATGTAAAGTAATGATGCATTTTAGACACCTCAAAGAATCAACGTCGGGGTACGTATTTTGAGTGAATGATTTCACCGTAGACCTTTCTGATGGAGCAGGGAAGCTCTCATCAAAGAACATCATACAAGCACGCCTCAGCTTTAGGGTCTGTAATCATTCACTAACACAGTGCTTAACGAAAAAGCCATCAAAAGGTTTAGTAGATGAATAACTCACATACAGGAAGTTGAGTACCTCTGTTTGTCATTGCAGGGCTTTATGTGCTGCAGCGCATCGGTTCCACTCAGGAAGGAAAAGCCAGCTTCACTCTGTCGGGAGACTATTACAACAGAGAGCTGTCGGGTACGATGCCATCAGAACACTGACTTCATCTTCCCATGATACGGAAATATACATGCTTTCTTTCTAAGACTATGTTTTAGAGATGGGAATTCAGAGTTTTGACATTCAATTTGAATAATTTGATTCTGAATGGATGCATTAGGTAGGATAATGACGTGTGTGTGTGTGTGTGTGTGTGTGTGCTCGCCAGGCTGGGAGCCCTTCATCGAGCCGTGGCCCTGTTCTCTGTCCTGGCAGCAGCAGGCCGCCGGCCGCCTCCATCCTCCCCGTTTGAAGATGGGGGTCCGAGCCAAGCAGAGACTGGACATCAACATCACGTCCGTCCTGCTGGGTGAGTAAACGCTGCAGCGGCCCCCCCTGGCTGAACAGCATCCAGTCCCATTATTCACTGCCACTGCTCTGGTCCCTCAGAACAATACAACACCACTAAGAGTGCCTGGATAGCTGATTACTGTAAGGAGGAGGAGCACACGCCCCAGCCTTCGCCCCCCCCGCCATGGATGGGCTCCTCGGTAGACCCACCTAGCGTCGGACAAAGTGAGTTACAGCACCACAAAGCAATCTCTGGGAAATAGGAAGTCCTTCACAGAAATACTTGCAATTGTTTAAAGGAAAGGCCAGGCAAGGCATCTGAGACAACGGGTTCATTTATTTGAAATGATGAAATGAAAGATACCAGAATATCCATGTGTTAGTTAGAAACGTCCCTTATAATGTTTCTTTTGCTCCTCCGTAGATGTAAACATGTAATGTGTGTTGTATGTACTCTGCCATAACCCTCATCGTACAATCACTCAGCCTCCCTCGTGTAACAGTACAAGAATACTGTTACTCAATTGAACATAGCAGTGTTTCCCTAACCATTATATCAGGGGCGCCCCCCCCCCTGAGATTAGCCCCCAGCCCCTAAGACAGTCTGTAAGAAAAGATATATATATATATATATATATATATACTTATACTTTTTTTTTTTTTTTTGCAAAGCCATGTCTGCAAACATGGCTGGTGTAAGTGCCCCCCGCCCCCCCACCCCACCCCCCAAAGTAGTAAACCGAGGGAAAACACTGCATAGGTTTGACATGTTGGTTGCTGCGCTGAGAACATGATTAAAAGATTCATCGACGTGTTGAATTGCGAACACAGAGTACACGATGAAGAGGATGATGAAGCTGTTGTGTTCTCTCTGCATGTGTCTCTGCTGTCAGGCGCTCCTCTCGCTCCCCTTAGAACTAGGAGCACCGACACCCTGACCTGCCCCGAGCAGCAGATTCACTCTGGAGGTACAAGTCAGAGAATAGTCTCTCAGACCGCATCCGAGCTTCAATCGGTCGGCATCAAGGCTCCTCGCAGATGCTCAGACATCGTTCCCTTAGGCACATTTCCCTTACCAGGGTTTTGTGTTGGAGCTTAGTCTTGCCGGTGTTGTGCATTGTGACCCTACAGATGTTAAGAACCAGCTTCTCATAGTTGAGAACACACGGCTGTAAAGGTTCTAGATGTTTTTCCCTGTTTATTGCTGCTTTTGGCTGAAACTAACTACAGTATGGAAGCGTTCTATAGATTCCTCCTCTTTAAGACCGATGATGCTCCGCTTTGTTTTGCCTGAACAGCCTTGTTTGTCATTTACTCGGCACTGCATGGCCAATGGTTGGGAGTCCATTGTGAAAATAGACAGCAGTGTGTTTACATCATTGTGTGTTTGTTTTTTTTCATTTGTTCAGTACGATTCCAGACATTTTCATTAGTAGGACAATTATTTTCTGGTGTTTAAAAGTTAAATCGGTGCTAATCCAGCGTGGCGGTACGTAAAGCGCCGTATATGGCAGTATTTTGTTATGTTACTGATTAACAAATGTAAATTGGTCACATCGAACATGATGGTTGGAGATATATATAAGAAAATAATTGTATTACAAAGCGGCAGGAAACCCCAGTTTAAGAGTGTCAACTATTGGTCCTGGTCACTACTAAATTGACGGTCTCTTGTAAAATGATGGAGTTCCCCTTAAAAGGACAGAATTCTGCTTTTTAGGTCTTCCAACCTAGAAGAAGAAAGCAAGCGCATGGCCAAACACAACTAAAGTTAATAACAACGATCAAGCATACGTATCTTCTCTCAGATTCACTTTTCTTTTTTGCCTCCAGCCGACGTGAAGCTGTCCAAGAGGAGGCAGCCGTTTGTGCCGTTCGCTCTGCGCAACCACACGGGATGTACCATGTGGTTTGCCACTCTGACTACAACCCCCACCAGGTAGGTGGAGCCGTGGGCGCAAAACAAGTCGCACACGAGTCTGTTTCTCTTTGCAGCTGTTTGGATCACCTTGTTGTCTTTTTGCGTTGTGTTTGTATTGGCTTGGCGTTTGCTGTGATGATATTTATTCAAACAAATAGTTCTGCTCATGCAAAGCTTTGGCTGATTCTATTTCTGTTGGAGATGCGTGATGCTGATGTTTAACTTTGGAGCGAGAAGAGATGAAGGTCCCCACATGTTCTCCACAGGGTGGCCCTTTCTCACAGCAGTAGTGCCGACTCCATCTCAGACGTCCACGGCCCGGGAACGGATGACACTCACAACATCAGTCAGTGGAGGGAGGTGCAGCCCGGGGAGGAGATTCCTTTTGAGTTTGAAGCCCGCGAGAAACTCCGCCACCGGTACAGATCGGAGTCCCATTCACTGAATACACACATGCTTATCAAACTGTTGTTTAGTTTGGCCATCATTACATTTAACATCCGTCTGAAACGGGATTGGTCGTTATTGAACATGTCAACTACTCCTCAACTTTTAAGTAAGACAAGGCAACTGCTGCTTGTAGCAGTGACTCCACAGTGAAGCTGGCAGGTCCAATTGTTGTCCAAGCCATTTGAACCCCGAGTTGTTAATAATCTAAACATGTGTACAGTGAGGCTGACGATGATTCTGTATCACTGCTCCTATGCAGCCACACCCATGAACTGAAGCTGCACCAGCTGCTGGTGCGAGTGTGTGGATGGGAGCAAGTCAAGCCGGTGTCTGTGGACAAAGTGGGCGTTTTCTTCCGTTACGCAGCCCCAGACAGAAACAACTCCTCCAGTACTGTGAGCACAGAACTGTAAAGCAACATTCACGTGGATGATGTTCCTGAGGAATCGGGGTGAAACGGTTGTTTCTCCGTCACTCTTCCACAGGTCGGCAGTCCGATCAGCAGAACCAACATCATCCACCCGCATGTTTACGTGAGTCTTGCTTCTAAGTCGGTGATCAGTCGAAGTGAGCACGTGCCGCCAGAGTGGCATTATGAACGGGACAGTCTCTAGACGTGAGGACGATAATGATGATTCAAATAAAAGCCTAATGGAATGCCGTTGAGGCAGCAGAAAAGCTCCGTATGAGTGTAAACCTGCATGCAGGATGTGACGATGTAGGATTTTATTGCAGTAAAACACGCTGACGAAAATGTTGTTTTTAAAATACTGGAAGAAAGAACAGACTTGCAATGTTAGTATATTTATTCATCCTTAATTTATTTTTAATTTTGCTAGAACTTTCTTACTGAAAAATAATTAATCTGTAAACGCATTTGTTTTATAGACTAAATGTAGGTTACGGTGAAGTGATGTTTTAATCCCTTTTCAAGAGTTTCTATCCTATTTTGACCTAAATTTGGATTATATCATGTAACACAATGGTTTCGGCCACGATGAGCACCACATTCTATTTTGATATCGGGCCCTCAGTTCTCGGCCCTGCCTCCAGTCAGAGTGGTCTTCTCCATCACAATGGAGGGAAGTGCTCGGAAGGTCGTCACCGTCCGCTCTGCCCTCATGGTGAAGAACCGGCTAGATGTTCCCATGGAGGTCAGACTGGACAGCCCCTCTGCTCCTGACAGTAAGACACTGCTCCATTTTGAGTTCTTTTGACTAAGCAGCATTGCTCATGTAAAAGTACGGCTGGTTACTTGTCGTGTCCTTCAAATGACGCCAACTGCATCTCTGGGTTAACAGAACCAGTGGTGTTGCCCCCGATCCTTCCTGACCAAGCCTTGGCGGTCCCACTCCACCTGACGTCCTGGAGGCTGCAGGCTCGGCCCAAAGACCTGGGCTTGTTCTTCTGTAAGGTTCCCATCCACTGGACCAGTGTGGAGCGGCCCGGAGACATCAGCAGCAGCAAGAGGGAGTGTCAGTCTGCAGACTTTGACGACAGCCTCAAGCGCAGCTTCAGGTAAACAAGTCAGCCGGACACCTGATTTATGTTGCCTCGTCATATCTGGAACCAATCCACTCATCTCTTTGTCTCTCGCAGGTTCTGTGTGGTCATCAAAAAGGAGAACTACCCAAATCAGCAGCCCGCCAAGACGGTTTCTGGCAGCGCCAAGCAGATCTATCGACAGCCCGGCCACACCATCTACCTGCTGCCCACGATGGTGCTGGCCAACCTGCTGCCCTGTGACCTCAACTACTTCATCAAAGGAACGGCCATCCGAGGCGCCCTGAAGCCGGGCAAAGAGGCCGTGCTTCACGTTGCGGACACCTCGCAGAACATGGAACTAGGTCAGTAGGTGGCCAAAGTCTTTCACTGGCTAACGACATCTTCCTTCTCACTCTGGTGGTCATGGTGTGTGTGTGTGTGTGTCCTCCAGGAGTCCTGCTGGAGAGCTTCCCCGTGTGCAAAGAGCTGCTGATCCCACCCGGCACTCAGAACTATGTGGTCCGCATGCGGCTGTACGACACCAACAAGCACCTGCTCTGCCTCACCATCCGCATCGTCCTGCGAGCACAGGGGGCCCTTAAGATCCTCATTTCGGCCCCCTACTGGCTGATTAACAAGACCGGTAAACGTTGTTTGAAGATTTTACAGAGTTGCTTTTAACAACTGATGTAGTTCCTTCAAGCCACTTTCTCCCGCAGGCCTGCCGTTAATCTTTCGCCAGGACAACGGCAAAGCAGATGCTGCTGGCCAGTTTGAGGAGCACGAGTTGGCTCGAAGCCTCAGTCCGTTACTGTTCTGCTACACGGACAAGGAGCAGCCTGCTATGTAAGTGTTTGAGAGACCGGGCCTCTCGCTTCCTGGAAATAGATCATGGTTAGCTAGTGAGAGAGGACATAACCGATGGCTTTGGCCTGCCTGTGGTTTAGTTCGATCCACCTGCTGAACCTCTCGAATTGCATCTGCCGCGTCCTTACATTCCATCCATTGGCCGTGTCGCTCCCAGGTGCACTATGCGGATCGGGAAGGGAATTCACCCTGACGGAGTTCCCGGCTGGTGCCAGGGCTTCTCCCTGGACGGAGGCAGTGGAGTCAGGGCAGTGAAGGTTATCCAGCATGGGAACCGGCCTGGCCTCATCTACAACATAGGCAAGTTGGTACACACAGCCTTTCTGGCCCTCTGGTGCATGTATTAAAGTCACATCAAACAGTTGATATTCAAGCGAAATGGTCTCTGCCGTTATTGTTATTGATTGGTTGATCCCTCTCTGATTGACACAGGCATCAGCGTGCGTAAAGGAAAAGGACGCTACAGGGACACTCACATCGTGACATTCGCCCCGCGCTACCTGCTGGACAACCGCTCTACACACAAACTGGCCTTCGCTCAGAGAGAGTTTGCGAGGGGAAAGGTGACGACTCAACTGGAAATCTTGAATTCCACGTTCTGGTAGCTGATTGGTTGATATGCAGCCCTCTATAGAGTGACCTTTGTTACACACCGTTCTCTCTCACAATCACACATTTCCTCTGATCCCTTGATGAAGGTGAACCAGCATATATAAATACAATAACCGCTACTCTAATACTCACAGTGTGTATGTGGTTCTGTTGAGTTTGCAGCGACCCCCCCCCGGTTTAGTCCAACAGGAGGATAATGAATGTAACGCGACGGAAGCCGTTAGTCATTAGTGAATACATCTGTCCTAGGGTACGACCAACCCTGAGGGTTACATCTCCACCCTGCCGGGCTCCAGCGTCGTCTTCCACTGGCCCCGCAACGACTATGACCAGCTGCTGTGTGTGCGACGCATGGACACCCCCAACTGCACCTGGTCCGGGGGCTTCGAGGTCAACAAGCCCAAGTCCTTTCACGTCAACATGAGGTAAGTTACAGACATACATCACCTCTCCAGCAGCACGATTTCCATTGTTCTTTGTATTGTTTGTACTCAAGTTCTAATGACGTTACAGTCTTGATGATGGAGGTTGAAGGTAGAAGTGTAACCCTTGTTTCAAATTCAAAGCTACACGTCGTCCGATACCTTGAACTTCCCATTTCTATCTAGATCATAAAGGTTTCCATTAGTTAATGTGTGGGGTTGTACAAAGGGGGGAGAATGGGGGGAGGATGTTGGGGAACTAAGGAAAATACTGAGTGGCAACTGTAGTAACAACTTTCACCAGCAGGTGGAGACAGAAAACACAGTGAAACTAGTGGTAGTACCGACTATCACCACAGAGTAGTAAAGCATAAAAAAGGGCCCAACAATTATTTATTGTGCAATATCTGATCCCTGCCTTCAACTTGTGATGGTCCCACTACGTACTGGGTGGTTTTTCCACGCTGTACCCGAAACAACTTCCACCACATTTATTAAGTGTTGGACAGCTTTAAAGTGGGTCTGTGTTTGAACAGGGACACGCTGGGGAGCTGTTTCTTCCTGCGGACGGAGATTACACTGAAGGGAGCCACTTACCAGATCTCCTTCTCTGACGCTGACCAGCTGCCTCCCCCCTTCCGCATCGACAACATCTCTGAGGTGAGCCGCAGCGGCATGAACTTTTCCTACTTACTTCCACTCGTCTCTCCATGGATGAACCATTACGGGCCTACCAGTACACGCGATCACTGAATAGATGCCGTTGCTTGGACCCCGTCAGGTGCCCATCCAGTTCTGGCAGCACAGCGTGGCTGACATCCGGCTGCACACTGAGGTGAAGGCCGGCTCGGTGCTGGACTACGCCTGTGATGAGCCCACGCTGCCCCCCTACCTCACGCTGACTGTGAAGGGAGCCGGCTCCTCGGAGGTCACGTCGGACATGAACTTCTTTAGAGAATACAACAAGCTCTACTACGAGAACTTCATCTACATCGCAGCCACTCATACCTTTTCGCTGTATGGACAAACAACACGAATAAACTCACGTTGACGTTTGTATACAACAGTTGGCATAAAGCTAAGCAGCAGGTTTGTTATTGCAGGGACTTTGAGAAGAGGCCTGTCGGTAAGAAACGTCTGGTGAGCTGTGCTGAACTCGTTCTGGATGTCGATACCAAGACTCAACGGGTCATCCTGAAAAAGAAGGTACAGTTTTTAAGGTTGAGATGAAAAGAGCATGTGCTGTTTTGTCTCTGTCGTTACCCTGCATCTTTAGAGGGGAGTTCATCTCACTTCCCTGTTGTCCTTTGATCGCGGTGCAGGAGCCGGGGAAGCGCTCCCAGTTGTGGAGGATGACCGGCAGCGGCATGCTGTGTCACGAGGGCTCGTCTCCGCCGCAGAGCAAGCCGGCCCAGCCGCGCCCGCTGGACTCCTCTCTGGTGCTGGACATTGCCGGGCTCGCAGCTGTCAGTGACAACAGGTTGGTGCCCTGGCAGCTGTACTGAGGCCATACGCTTCACGTGGACATCGCCCAGGTCTTATGTACAGCTGTGGTCGCATGTCATGCACGATTTGAATGTAAGGGGTGTCGCTGTCTCTCCCAGTTTTGAGCCGGTGATGCTGAGGAGGCCGGACTCCCGCCGCAGCACCACTCAGACGTGGTATTTCAGCTCGGGCATGCTGACCTGTGGCCTGCCCCGGCTGGTGGTGCAGGTGAGTGCAGAGCGCTACTGAATGTGGACCGGAGCTCCTCGGCTATATGGGCTGCTGTGGCCTCCAGTCTGCAGTCTGGCTTCTGTTGACACCTACTAGATTTTCTTTGATTTGTACTCCTCAGGTGAAGGGCGGGACCGCAGGTCTGTATGACGGAGCAGAGGTGGTGCTGGGACCAGACTCTGGGCTGCAGGAGCCGGGCCCCGAGCAGCAGTTCATCAACCAGAAGATGAGACCTGGTTCTGGCGTGCTGTCGGTCCAGGTGCTGCCAGATGGACCCACACGTGTCCTGCAGGTGAAAACACATTGGGGTTAATAATCTTTCAACTGTAGTAGCATTGATACTGAGCAGCAGCATTATTTTGGTGAATCAATGAGTTTGTGACCAAAACTCATTAGGACCCAACGTCTTGTGATGTATTTTGTGAATTATTTGTTTTATCTGAAGTTCGATTACCATTTACAGATAAAAAACACCCCACACTGCTCCCGCTCTTTGACCCTGTGGTGTTTTAAAACGATTTCTGAACCTGTGATTCAAGGATAATCAAGTTTGAAATCTTCTTCACAATATGTATCGTGTCATCTCTCAATCAAAATATAGATCCCGATAAAGCATATTTCACTGTAATACTGTGGAAACCCCTTACAAAGATCTGTGAATAGGGTCCACCGGTCTAATAATCTCAGTGTGTGTATATATATATATATATATATAGGTGTTCTGTGAAGGTCTCAGACTTTGTTAGAGAGCATTACAGAACAAAGAGCACCACGAAAGGCCAAACCGCTCAGGGACAAAGTGGTAGCTTTGAAAAAAAATATCCCACGCTTTGAACATTTCACGGAGGACCATGAAATCCGTCATCAAAAGAATCTGTCCACAGGGCACCTAGTAGCCGTGTCCTCTACAAATCTGGAAATCCCATTCGGTGTTTTCCACAAGCCATGCGGGAGACACAGCAACACGTGGAAGAAGGTGCTCTGCTCAGATGAGACCGAAGTGTAACTTTTTGGCCTTAATGCAAAACGCTGCGTGGCGTTGTGTCTCATTGTCCCTGTTGAGACGGTGGTGAGTGGTGGCGACATCATGCTGTGGGGATGCTTCTCTTCAGCAGGTACAGGGGAACTAGTTCGATTTTAGGGAGAATTAGATGGATGGAATGGATTAATCAAAGAATGTTAACGTTTAATGGCCCAGTCAAAGCCCACACCTCAATCCATATGAGTATCTTGCTCTTCATAGGCGATCTCCATCCAATCCGAGAGTGAAGAATGGAGGAAATGTGTCAACCTGTAGATGTGCAAAGATATACCTCAAAAGACTTGCAGCTGTTATTGCCAATTTCAACCAAGTAGCCTCTGTGTATACTTCTGCACCTTCAAAATACTCTGAGATTGTAACTGTGAAACAGTGTAAAAAGTAATTACTTCTGCGAGGCACAGTATTCCAGTTTGAATGCCCTTTCTCTCTTCTTCTCAAAGCTCACAGACACTTTTTTTGTTTTGTTTGTAGATCAGTGACTTCAACCAGAGGAGAATGATCCGGAGCTCCTCTTCCTCAGAACAGGAAAAGGCCAAAGAGGATGAGAAGAACAGAGAGCCTGAGCAGGAGCTGGAGGTACCATCTTACCACCTTTGCCGTGCCGATTCATTCAGTACGCGGTCCAACTCATCCGTGGAACAATACCGCTGTACCTCGCACCGGGTACTGAAGCCGTCCCAGCCAGTGAGACGAGTGTCCTCTGACGTCTGCTCAGGTGTTGGTGAACCTGGAGGAGGGAGTTGGCGTGTCTCTGGTCAACAAGGTCCCCGAGGAGCTCGTGTTCACGACGCTGTCTGGTATCGACGTCCACTTCACCCGAACCGCTGCCAACGAGGTGTTAGAGCTGAGCATTCAGAACATCCAGGTGAGCTCACCCGATCATACAGGGTTCCAGCGAAATCTAACCTCCGTTGAAATACTCCGATAACAGTTTACTGGAGCTCATCCCTGAAATAGGTCACTATATCTACAGTGACTGTCAGGCTACTTTGGTTGTAGGTTACATTCTGCTTCACTTTGCTGTAAATGGAACCACACGTGGATCAGAATAACCGTTTCATACATGGTTGAACCACAGGGTTCATATGTAGCCCGACTGAATTTGTATGAAGAATCTTCTGCTTGAAAAATTAAATCAAAGACCTTTTTGAACTCAGCAATTGTTTTGCTGCATTAAAGAGCTGACTGGTCGTCATTGGAGGACACACCGTGATGATGTGTTACTACAGTCCACGTCTTCTGTGCCACTTTGATTCAGGAGCTTTTATTTTCATTCATTCCGTTCATACAACATCCTCATGGAATTATTCAGACACAGCAACTAAACGCCTGATAACTAACCACCATTTATTGGCGCAAAACATGGATATCAACCAAACCACAATATGAAACCCAAGAAATGAGCGCTTTAGGAGATTTCCCACAATGGAAAATGACAAATTCCATCCTCCCGAGCACCAAACACAATACACTGATCCAAAATCTATATGCATTAGTGAGTCTATATATTTAATCCAATGCATTAGAAAATAGTCTATAGCGATATTCAATCATTTGTTCATTTTCTCTTCCTATCCGCTTCAAAAAATATATTCAGAAACACAAAAGACACAATCTAAAAGGTATTTATTAGTTCTCTATTGCGATCACTCACGAGTTAGGAGAGGGAACCGTTTTACCAAATCGCTGACCCGTCCAGTGTCTTAGGGGAGACAGTCGTGTAAACTGTTGGTCCTTCATGTTGCGGTCATAAGGTGGACAACCAGCTGCTGGGAACCACCCAGCCTGTGATGCTGTGTGTGACTCCCAGCTCCAGTGACAGCGGCCTCAGCGACAGCGGCCCGGCCCTGCAGGTCAACTCGGTCAAGGTCCCCAGCAGCCTCATGCTGACCGACCTCTTCAAAGTGAGCGTCGCACACCGAATCCCTCACATGGCATCGCTATATGCAACAAAAGCCTTTCTAGTGATCCAGAGACTTGGGCGCTGATGTGAACCGACTCATGATGTGTTGACAGCACCTGATGGTGACGGCCCGGCGCTTCACCGTCATCATCGAGGAGAAACTGCTGCTTAAGCTCCTCAGCTTCTTTGGCTACGGACAGACAGAAGCTGGTAGGTTATCAGGGGAACGCCGTGGTTAATGTGTGTGACGCTGTGGGGAAGAAATGTGGTCTTCACTCCATGTATAATGAATGCAGAGCTGGAGAAGTTGGATGAAAACGTTTATGAGAGGCCCAACGAGGACGCAGGACCTCCCAAACGGTACTACTTTGAGAACCTGAAGATCAGCCTTCCTCAGGTCAAACTGAGTGTCTTCACCTCTCACAAGCTGCCTCCTGACCTCAAGGTAACACCTCAGTCTTCGTGCTGCCCTGCTTCACAAAGCTGCTCCTTGCAGATGTAGAGTTCCGTCAGAGAGCAGCCGGGGGGGCTGTGCTTCATCTATGACCATTACCGACCATTGTAATACGCTTCAAAGTATTAAAACAAAGGTTACACTAGAAAGAGTTTCTGGTAGAAATAGATTTCATTGGTCCTTTTATGATTCCTGGCAGGACATTATGACACTGTGTTACTTCCTGTTGCCACATAATGACACCCTGCTGACTTCCTGTCACAGCATGAGTTCTCCAGCTGCGCTTCCTTCCAAATGTGTCCGTCTGTGGAGTCATGCTTGTTTTGATATATATGAATTTCAGTGTGCTGCCAAATGTGATGTATTTTGTCATATTGTCGTACATCATGATGGACGATTTCTACATTCATGGGAAAGAAAAGCTTCCCTGCCTTCCATTTTCCCAAGTAGATGTTTTGTGGTCACTGTAGGTCCTGAAAGGCACCCTGGGCTTTCCTCTGGTTCGCTTTGAGGATGCCGTCATCAACATGTACCCGTTCACCAGAGTGCACCCCTATGAAACCCAGGAGATCATCATCAACGACATCCTCAAGCACTTCAGAGAGGTAAGTGCTTCTGTGAGCTTATTTGCCTTTCACATTCAAGCTACTTACTATCAGCTGCTACGTGGGCAGATGTGACGTGGTGGCGTGCGCCCCTGAGGCTCCTGTCAGGACATGTGGTGTGTTTGCTGTCTGTAGGAGCTCATCAGCCAGGCAGCGCAGATCCTGGGCTCTGTGGACTTCCTGGGGAACCCAATGGGCCTCGTCAACGACGTCACTGAGGGCGTGTCTGAGCTCATCAAGTACGGCAACGTGGGTGGTCTCATACGCAACGTGACCCACGGCGTGTCCAACTCTGCAGCCAAGGTATTTTTCTCTCCGTTTTTTTTCTGTGCCCATGTGGGGGTCTTGAGACAAAGGAATGGGTACAATTTGTGATTTTCGGCTTAAAATTTAGTAGAGTGAATTATAGAGATATACTTGTACCTGATAAAGAATTATAGACACCTTCCTGTTCTGTGGCTCAGTTTGCAGGGACTTTATCCGACGGGTTGGGGAAGACCATGGACAACCGGCACCAGAGCGAGCGAGAGTACATCCGATACCACGGAGCCACCAGTGGAGAGCACCTGGTAGCAGGGATCCACGGACTGGCCCATGGTAGCACCCGCTTCTGTGTCTGTGTTTTGTTCAGCAAGTGGACCAAGAAACATTTAGTCGCTGTCTGAAAACCTCAAAATCCTTTTCTGGGGAAAGTCTAAAAACATATTTTCAGTCCACAATCTATTTGCATGTTGACACAGAAAAGGAATGCTGCTAGGACGAGATACTGTGTCTGTGCCGCCCAGGCCAGAAAACCGCCTCAGAGTGGGAACGGTGGAGCTTTAAAAGATCATACGAGTTGACTATCTGCTCATTTGTGTTAATCCCCGATTGTCTCATGGGGAAAAAGTGTATTAAGCCTTCTCTGATGTACAGTACGATCAAGAAGACCGACATGTTGACCGGACCCCTCTCCTCCCCCAGGTATCATCGGAGGGATGACCAGCATCATCACGTCCACAGTGGAAGGCGTGAAGACCGAGGGCGGAGTCGGCGGCTTCTTCTCGGGTCTGGGTAAAGGCCTGGTCGGCACGGTGACCAAACCGGTGGCCGGGGCTCTGGACTTTGCCTCAGAGACGGCACAGACAGTCCGGGACATGGCTAGTCTCAGTAACCACAGGTGAGTCGATCACCTGTATCGTGTCCCTCTACCCGTTGTATTACACGAAGTCTAAGAGGTTTTCAGTGTGGAGAGATGAATTAACATATCACCAAGTGAACTAATGAAACGGTGAAGTTGAAGTGTTGCTGCTGTGCTGTGTGGACCAGGCTCAGTGTGCAGCGGGTCAGGAAGCCTCGCTGCTGTAAAGGCCCCCAGGGTCTACTGCCTCGGCACTCGGCCTCACAGTCTGACGGTCAGGAGCAGCTCTTCCGCCTCACGGACAACATCCACTCGGAGTTGTGAGCGTCACTCGTTCTCTACGTTCTAATACCTAGATGACTGTGAGCTCCACCACACTGACACTTCACTGTCTCCCTCCAGCTTCATCGCTGTGGAGCCCATAGACAGCTACTGCGTCCTCATCTCCTCCAAAGTGGTCTACTTCCTGAGGCCGGGGGACTACGTGGACCGCGAAGCCATCTTCCTGGAGGTCAAGTATGAGGACCTGTACCACTGTCTGGTCTCCAAGGATCATGGGAAGGTCTATGTGCAGCTCACCAAGAAGGCTGAGAGCACCAGCAGTGGTGTGGCCATACCCGGCCCCTCCCACCAGAAACCCATGGTGAGAAGTTCTATATTGACAGTCTCTGGATAGTACAACTGGTTTAAGATCAGCCAAAACCACACAATGCACCTGAATCTCTCCATGGATTTCATTCTGCTTTGATTTGGGCCTCAACCTCAATACAATGCTATGAATGCCATTTAGTTTGCTTGAGGGAATCAGCCAGAGGAATGAGAATGGTTTGTTTCCATCCACTAGTGTTATGGGAGTATATTGTAGAGTTTTTTTCAATTGAAGTGAGAAGTACTGCAGTCAGAGGGTCATCACTGAAGAAGTAGAGTGCCAGGTGAAACTCAAATGATGAAGAACAATGTAGATGGAAATATGACAAATATGTTCATGTGTCATGTATTAATGTGAGAAAGGTTACATCATGGAGCTGTTGTTCCTCTCGCCAGTGGAACTCGAGTTCCATCCTTGATGTCGTCATTTGTCCCTTAAATGCACTCACAGCCACATTATTAGGCACACCTTGCTAGTAAGAGTTTGGACCCCCTTTTGCCTTCAGCACTGCCTTGATTCTTCTTGACATACTTTCAACAAGATGTTGAAACATTCCTCACAGATGTTCCAGTAGTGACTGGAGGCCATTGGCTACAGTGAACTCATGATCGTGTTCAAGAAACCAGTCTGAGATGATATGAGCTTTATAACATGCTGCATTATGCTGCTGGAAGTAGCCATCAGAAGATGGTTCACTGTGGTCATAAAGGGACTGACATCAGCAATACTTGGGCAGGCTGCAGCATTTCAACAATGCTCAACTGGTACTAAGGGGCCCAAAGTGTGCCAAGACAATATCCCCCACACCATTACACCACCAGCAGCCTGAAGCGTTGATACAGGGCAGGATGGATCCGTGCTCGCATGTAGTTTACGCCACATTCTGACCCGATCATCTGGATGTTCAGCTGAAATGGAAACTCGTCAGACCAGGAAATGTTTTTCCAATCTTCTATTGTGTAATTGTGGCGACCCTGAGTCTCACTCTGTTCTCTCACATCGTCACGGCATTTTTTCAGACCATTCTCTGTAAATCCTAGAGATGGTTGTGCGTTAATATCCCAATCCATCAGCACAAAGCACTGTCTTTGTTAGGAAGGGAATTCCAATAGTAATCAACTTGAGTTGTGGCCAGACAGAGTCACATGACCAGCTGTCCACCAACAAGACCAAGAAGAGAAGGCCACCTATGAGAAGGCTCAAGCATGTCATCCATACAGATGGGAATGAATCTCAAACAGAGAGATTACATGCGCACAGACCAAAAGGCTGACTTGTCAGAGGTTTGCAGCAGTAATGGTTGTTTTTAGCAAAGCTACAGAAATAACAGGTCTTAACCACTATGTAACAATCCACAGGTCCATGTGAAGAGTGAGAACCTCGCCGTCAAGATCTCTCAAGAGATCAACTATGCCAAGAGTCTGTACTACGAGCAGCAGCTCATGCTGCCAGTCAATGAGGACGAAGACTGCTTGCTGCTCGAGTTCTGATCACATGACTTTTCTCAAGGAAACATCATTAAATCCCGAGAAGGCAACAACTTTTATTGATTTTCGTAGGAGTTTTAAAGTGTTCAACAAACTGCATTAAAGACAATAGTCAGACAACTGTGCACTTGCACATATGCAAGGAATTGTTTATCTATAAAACACTGTCATCCTGCAGGTGTTCAGTGTGTGTGTGTGACTAGACAGAAATGTAAATAGAGCTACATACCAATACTATCCGTGTACATACTGTATTAATTATGAAGTATGAACATAATGTGAAATGTAACAAACTGCCTTTGCAATTCTATTTCGGGTATTTCTATTTTGTGAGACTGGGTTTGGGGGGGTGAATTGCACTGACACATGGAGGGAGGGGACCTGCAGCCTTCCTGCCTCAAACACACACACTAGCCTTTTACATTAACACACCTCCCGGTGTTTCTCCACTTTTATTTAACAACCCTTTTTTAATGAGTCCCCTTTCTATCCAGAGTGTCCCTCTTAATCTCAGTGTGCACTTTCTTTTAACTTTGGTTTTGGTGGCAGATCCAAGTTAGGGCGGTGTGGAGGGGGAGTGGATTGGAGACAGGCCAGTCGGAGAGGCAATGGTGGATGTTTTATCCTGTAAAATAACGTTCACATGGATGCTGCTTCAAATAAAGCACCACAACTGCAGGACTCACTTGGTCGGACCTGTTATTTCGGCACTTGATTGTTGTACAATATTCTGTCGTTGCAGACATAAACCTGTTTTGGGGGGAGGGTCCCAATGATTATCACTGTGATAAACCCCCAAGTTCAAATCACCAGACATTGTGCTGACAGCATTGGTATATTTTAATGCATTAATCATGGTCACATTAATCACATTTTTGACAGTCCTAAAATTGTGTGTGTGTATGTATATATATATATATATAAATTATACACTCACACATTTACTGTCACTACTGACTTTACTTGTATGGATACATGTGAAACGCACATCATTTCAGAGCATTCATACATATAACTGAAAAAACGTATAACATATTTAAAACATTAATACAAATATATGCGAAACACTTGCACATGTATCTAAACGTTTTATATCTTTGTAATGTAAGACATTCAGTTATGAATGTATTCGTGTTCAACACTTATGGAGGCTCACATCTAACAACCAAACGTGGGGGATTGGTGGCTGTTCCGTTACCATGAAGGTATATCGGCGCTGACTGCCGTATGAGTGCTGTGCAGAGTGGGGGCAGCCAGTGGTACATGGGCTATACTTGTATTTCTCTTTTTAGTCTTTAGACCACTTGAAGCAGGGCTTTAACACTACATGTTGTTGACCTTCACCATGGGGTTAGAACAAAGCGGGTTGGGCTTGCGGGGTTCTGCATGGGAGGATTTTACACATAGAGGTCTCATTGGACGAGGGCCATAGACCGGAGCACAGCGACCCCCCAAGGTTTACCAGATTATTATTAGTTTATTATTATTGAAACCAGCTTCACCTGCACCTCCCTATCATCCCTCACACTACGTTGGTGCTTCTTTAAGAATTGTAAAAACTGCTCTAAATTTGCTGGTTCAATCGTAGACTTACCTTCCGGTCTCTGTGCCAAACAGAAGGGCCCAGAGTTCTGTTTTAAGTTTACCTTTTGGAGTTTACTTGTAATAGAGGATCATTTTTCGTGGCTTACTGTGATTACTTTGCGCTTGGGTATTTGGATGACAGCTGGATACCGTGGCTTGTGTTTGATTGTACATTAATTATTCTATAGGTTTTAGTAATTGTCATACATGTGTAACCAAAACATACTCCTACCAGATCACCTATTCATACAACTACGGGAGCAAATTGGAGTTAAGTGTCTTGCCCAAAGACACATTGAAGTGAACTAGTGGAGCCGGGAATTGAACTGCCGATCCTCCGGTTGAAGGATAAACCTGCTCCACCACTGTGGTACACTTCCAAACACAGCTTCCATTCACATGATGGTTATCACCATTGGTCATAACCATCATTAAGTGTGTTGGTCGTTTCATAAACCATACCCAGTCCTTTACTTCTGATGAAGTGTGTTGCGGGTCTGTATCTTCACAGAACCTGCACTTTGCCTGAATGTTATAGTTTTGCTGTGTTCGGATTGTTTCTTTACACCAGCCTTTGGGCACTATGTCCATACCCCCATGGTATGGGGGTATGGACACACATGAGCAAGCACGCATCCCAACGGAAGATACAAAAACACGCAAACATCCCAACCAACGCCAAATTGGATGAAGTCATTTGAAATAGGAGTTTTAAATAATTTCCAGTAACACATTCTTAGTCAATTCATTATTCAAACTAGGAGGACTTTTCACAGTCCTAAACTAACGGAACAAGGGAGAGATCCTGCCTCACGATTTGTCGGCATTATTATTATTATTAGCACTGGAAAAAGAATGAACTTTTACCCAAGCATTTCCATAAACAACAGTATTTTACGTGGTCTTTAGAGACTGTGGAAGGGGAGAAAACACACGACCCAAAAAAAACTTAACGGTTACGGCTGGGTAGCACAATACTGAAGTTACTTGCTTTCTACTTCATTTAAATACCCTAAAACTCCTCAGATACCCTGGGCGATGGACACTTAATGGGTCTGTTTCTGGTCCGAGCAGCACTTAGTTGTTATGATTGTCAGCTCACCATGCCGACCAGCCAGCCTTAAGCTCCAGTGCTATTATTCCCTGGGATCTAGTGTCAACCCTGCTCACTTTTATAGGTGACATGCAACTTTTCCTCAGTGTAATGCAGCAAGTGTCTCTTGCTGCATTTGCTTTGGGTCACTTTGCAGCTTTGCTGATGGGTCACTCTCCTCTGAGTGACCCATCAGCAAAGTTGCTCACAATGTAACGGTATACTCAACAGCTTCTGGACATTTGCACGGTGGCTAATGCTGTTTCAGTATCTGCCGTCTCTCCCAGAGGGGAAGTCCTGCTGCATTTTAATGTTCACCACTGGTGGAAAAGCTGGGTGGGGGTTAGGCTTCTGCTGGGGGTCACTGAGAGCCAGCGCCTCAGGTACATGTGGGTGCTGGTGCGTGGAGGAGCAGCAGAGCCTCTGGTCACGTCAGCTCGCAGGTGAAGCTCAACAGCAGCAACATGGAGGTCAATGTGAGGGAGAACTGACTGGCCGCCGCGTCAATGGCTGCACACAAAGAGAGCATGCATTAGTAAACACTACTCAATATTCATACTACTATGTACCATTGCTGGGACGGATGAACCTTACTCACCCACGCAACTCAAGGACAGGTCTATAATTGTAATTATTTTAACACCCAATCTCATGTTCAAACCCAAACCAACACTATATCTTTTGACAAGTATAGTATATGTGTGAGAGGCGGATACATTGTTATCCACCAAGTGTTTAACCACATCAGTGAGCCACACGGTTCCTGCATTACTTATGCTTTCTGTACCCGGTGGGGTCAGTTTTGCACACGTCAATTTCTGCTTGTTTCATACTTTTCAAAATATACTTTTGTTATAACGAGAAACAGCTTGATTAGGTCAAAATGACTTGGTTAGTTCATGGAAAGGATTGTAGTTTGGGGTTGAAAACGTATGTCTGCTATACGTATGCAAAACGTCAGAAGTCGTGTCACACAATATTGTGTCACACAAATGCAAGCAGCATTCTGCAAGGCAGAAACAGTCTTTCTTGCTCCCCCCCGGACTTGATTACCTCCCACAAAGAACATAGCTTAGCAGTGTTCCAGTGATCATGTAGCCATAGTTGTTCTATGAGCGATAATGGGCTCACTCTCTGGATGAAATGGAAGTACTTTCAGATTTGTTTCTGAGATATCACCAACTACTAAGCAAAGCCTCATCAGGCAGCCTACTGTGGAGAGCCAGGACACAAAAACAATCGTCGCTGCAGTCAGAGGAAAACCGCTCAGCTGAATATATATCACAAGATCTATGAACCTCGACCTCCTTATTTACCACAATTCACCATGAGTTGCATGTTAATACAGAGATCTTTGTAATGATACATTCTGAGTTGCAAAGGTCTGGTATTAGGCTTCATTTTGTGTTTCAAATGACCTTCACCCAGCAGCCTTTGCTTCTTGTTTGTCATGTCTAAAGCAAGGGATTTACCCCTCCATCTTTAAAAAGTGACCTACAATGTAACTCAAGGTTTGTCCTATTATTTTGTCTATTTATATTACATACTTGTGATTGGTGGATGAGAGGGCAGAGACAACCCCTCTGTTATAAAAGTGACATTATAAAAAGAAAGGTGTAAAAGGAAAAATTGGTATTATACTGTAAAAAATAAAAGAAAAAAAATTATTGTATTACACAAATCAAAAGTAAATGAAAAATTGAAATGAAAATAAATGATGGAAATAAATTACTTTAAATGTTTCACTGGATTCCTGTGCAGTAACAGTCGTAACATTGCATGTTATAACAAATGGCCTACCAAATAAACGCTCTCTTCCTTTCTTCAGTCTCGGGTTATCTGTAGAAACACACAAACAGTTTACTTAGAGCTTACCGATGAAAAAATCAATTATTAGAAGAAATCCCCTCACTGGACTCACCAAACACCATGAGGCGGGTGTGAGTTTCTGTGGAGCCCAGAGGATTCTGGGCCATGCAGCGGAACATGGATCCATTGAGCTCAGCAGGAACTCGCTCCAGGATGAGTTCCCTTCCGTCATGCCCCTCTCTGCCATCTAGCAGATGGCCACCCACCTTCGTCCAGGTGAATATGGGCTCAGGGAAGACCTCGCTCTATGGAAGCACACACACACACACACAAGAGAGAGCAGCAGAGTCAAGTCGCAAAGCTGACAGTGTTCTTAGCCAGTGACACTGCACGATAGAGCTCATGGACCCCAGGTTGGGGATTTAAGGAATACTCTAGGATCATGTGATTGTTACAGAGGTAAACATTGGCATTTAAATGTGTTGTGAAATACCATCATTATCAATACATCAGCGGCACCTCCCCTCAGCATGGACCATTTTGTTACATTTTTGTTGGAGCAGTGGGCCCCGAACATTTTTCTTCCTCCAAAGTGGGGCCCGACAGAAAAAGTATGAGAAACACTGATCTAAAGTGTCCTTGGGCAGATTCCCTGCACCTGTTCCACCTGTTTTTCTAGAAGGCATATACATAAAAAGTGTGTCAAACATCACTTCTCCTAAATGTTGATGTTAAAAGCCTATAGTGTGATTTATTGTAAGTTAGCAATAGAGATGAATCAGTAATCGAGAGTACCGTGCTTGCTTAGATACAGAAACATGTGTTACTGTCACTGCAGTTATTATAATGCCCAATATAATGAATTTCTCACTCACTTATCACAGGCTTTGGTGATATTCTATGAACTGTAGGAAACTTACTGCAGAAGGCCCCAGCTGGAAGCCCTGGACTGTGATCCGCACTGTATCTCCTACCCTGGCCTTCTTGGGGCTCATGGACAGCTTGGGTCCTCTGGGAGCAGCTGATGGCAAAGTAAACCAGTAGGTATATGTCTGAAGAACAGGAAACATTTATAACACATGACATAGTATGTGACCTACAGTAGCCGTTACAAGTACAATGTAAGTCCTACAGTTAGTGTTTTAGTGGAGGTAGAGTCTGAAGAGGTGTGTCTTTAGTCTGAAGATGTGAAGGCTCTCTGCGGTCCTGGTGTCTTCAGAGAGCTCGTTCCACCATTTCGGAGCAAGGACAACAAAAAGTCGTGATCTAGTCGAGTGTTTTGCTCTCAGTGAGGGAGGAATGAGCAGTTTTGCGGATGCAGAGCGGAGAGTGCGGGTCGGGATGTAGGGTTTGACCATGTTCTGGATGTACGCTTGCCAGTGATTCCAGTTAAGAGTGAAGTACCGTAGTCCAGTGTTGAGGAGATAAAGCCACAAGCTTTCCTGCATCTGAGGGTCAAAGTGGGGCGGAGTTTGGAGATGTTTTTTTATCCCCGCCATTTTAATATAAAGACAGACACCATATGAATTATTATTAAGAAGAATTAAGGTATTTATTTGTCTATTTGAATCACAAACAAATGAATTATTATTTTTTCTTTAATTCAAAGATTCAAACCGAAAAGCTATGGGGTCATTGTAATCCTCTGCCTGTTTTACTTTTATTGTCCACTTGATGGCACAGTGAAGCGAATGAAGCATGAGTTCTCGTTACGGTTTAAGGTTATAATGCTCCCATCTGAACAGCTGGCAGTTCCTCCGTTGATGTATAAGTGAAACTGCGCTTTTCCATGAAAGTTGCCACAGCTCCGCTTCCTCTCTCCTCTGCCACTCTGTGGCCCAGTCTCAATCTCTTCCCTTCCACTAGATGATTCTGTGAGGGTTTAGTTCTGTTCCACTGTAACACCCCTGAATATTTAAGGCTCCCTTTAAGCCCTTTATGAGCCGCTAATTTACAACAAACCCTGAACTCTGAGTTGATTTACCCTGAGATAGGAAACTCTTGAGTTTTTGGTTGCTGATTAGAGTTGGTTCAATAAACTCAGAGTAGGTTGACTCAGAGTTAAGCACGTCTACCACCACAGTATAAAGGCAGCATGAATGGAGCCATGATACTACGAGTTACCATGGCAACAACAACAAACAATCGGTTGGCATACTTCACCCCTATTGAGGTGGAAACATTAATGCAAGCGTATGGCGAGTATGAATCCGTAATTAGAAAAAAAGCAACACCGCTGCAGCAAAAGAGAGAGAAACGGCGTGGGAGAAGATTGCTGCTCAGGTCAATGCGTAAGTTCCAATGTAGTGTTGTCAGTTAATATTTAATTTTCACACGAATCATAATCTATATGTTTTACTAATTCCCAGTGGCTTGAAATACACACCCATGCTCATATTTAATCACAAGAATAATATGGTAAAAACTGGTACAATGGTATTGAACCTATAATGTATTTTATTCGGGTGCAGTCCTTTGGAACTCCTCTTTAATGGCTCTGACTGGTTTGTGTCCAGGGAACAAAAACGTTTAAAAGACGTTTCAGAGCGAGGCACACTCTTCTCACGGCTCTGCATACATCCGCACAGACAACCGGCTGCGGGATCGGAGGCAGCGCGTGTCCAGGTTGACCGCCATTGCACCTGGTTCTTCAGCAGATCTCTGGCACGCCGCATCACATTGGCCTGACCAAAGTTCACGACCTCCCTCCGGAGGAGAGGAGGAGCCCATGCAGATGGAAGGGCCCGACTCTCTCAAATGGAGCAGCGGCGCTATCAGGAGGGCAGGTGTTTTTACTGTGGCGAGCATGGTCACCTCGTCACCGCCTGCCCCGTGAAGGCCAACTTGTTGGTGAGTCATGTCACAGCAGTTACACTCACACCACGACGATTAACCACAGTGAAGATTAAACACCACAATCAAGACTTCGAGCTGGGAGTACTGATTGACTCGGGCAGATGAGAGTCTAATTGACTGGGGGTTAGCGCAGAGACTGGGGCTTCGGGTCAACCCACTGAGTAAGCCTGTTAAAGCGAGCGCGCTCAATGGAAGCGCATTGTTCACCATAACCCATGTGACCGAACCAGTAGAACTTCAGTGATCGCCGATCAATGGGAGCATCCAATGAGGATGTACCTTATGCACTCACCTCTGCACCATCTCATCCTCGGGGTTCCGTGGCTAATTTACCACAACCCACGCATAGACTGTCGCACCGGGGACATTATGGCATTGGGTGACGGTTGTAGGAACCAATGTAGGGAATCACAGCCCCAAGAGAAGAACCCTACTGTTAAGTGTTTTTACTCACGCTGTCACAGACTCAGAAACCACCGATCTGACCAAGGTGCCAAGCTGCTACCATCATCTCGCAGAGGTTTTTAGTAAAAGCAAAGCCACAGCCCTACCACCTCATCGCACATTTGACTGCGCCATTGATCTCCTGCCCGGCTCCACCATCCCGAAGGGCTGTCTTTATTTGGTTTCTGGGCCTGAGAGGCAGGCCATGAAAGACTATTGAGTGGTCTCTGAGTGCAGGTTTGATCCGACCTTCCTCATCCCCAGCAGGGGCTGGTTTCTTCTTTCTGGGAAAAAAGGATGCAACCCTTCGCCTTCGTTAAGAACAGATATCCCCTTCCCCTCATGACTACGGTATTCGACCAGCTTCAACAGGCACAGATTTTCACCAAACTGGACTTACGCAACGCGTATCATCTGGTTCGCATTAGGGAGTGGGATGAGTGGAAAACAGGGTTAAACACGCCATCCGGACATTAGGAATATCTAGCCATGCCTTTTGGCCTCACTAACTCCAAACTCAAACTATGATAAATGAGTGTTGAGAATTTTTAGACCAGTTTGTAGATGTTTTTATTGATGACATTCTGATTCATTCCCCTGACCTAGACACCCCTAAAGATCATGTTGAACTCGTCCTGCAACGTCTCCAAGCCAACGGGCTGTACGTGAAGGCAGAAAAGAGTGAATTTCATGCCGATACTGTCTCCTTCCTGGGCTTTATTGTAGCTCCTGGAAGGGTTCAGATGGACCCGGCTAAAGTGAGCGCTGTAGCCGAATGGCGAACACCTGATAGCCGCAAAAAGTGCAGCAATTCCTTGGTTTTGCCAACTTATACAGGCGGTTTATCAGAGGCTTCAACGCGACAGCAGCTCCGCTCTATGCTCTCACTTCCCCGCAGGTGCCGTTTCACTCGTCCGCCGACGCAGCCTTTCGAGAGCTTAAGCGGCGGTTGACCACAGCACCCATCCTCACGCTCCCCGATCCCGCTCGCCAGTTTGTGGTGTAGGTGGACACCTCTAATGACGGACTCGGGGCCATTCTCTCCCAGCGAGCAGATTTGTACAACCAACTTCACCCCTGTGCTTTCTTGTCACAACGACTTACGGCGGCGGAACGGAACTACGATGTGGGAGATTTTGAGCTGCTGGCAGTGAAGGTGACGCTGGAGGAGTGGCGGCACTGGCTTGAGGGGGCACAGCACCCGTTTCTGGTTTGGACGGACCACAAGAACCTGCAGTATATTAAGAAGGCTAAACGTTTAAATTCCAGTCAAGCCTGCTGGTCTTTGTTTTTTAACCGTTTTGATTTTTCAAAGAATACCACACCTGATGCCCAGTTCTGTCTTTTCAGCCCCGAGCCTGTGGCCATGGAACCTGAGCTCATCCTCCCACTTAACTGTGTGGTTGGAGCGGTCACCTGGCCTATAGAAGCCGAGGTAAAGCTGGCTAATGGTGAGACCCCCTCCACCTCGTGGGTGCCCAGACAATCGTCTGTTTGTCCCTGTTAATCTGCGGCCACAGGTGATCCACTGGGCTCACTCGTCGGACCATGTTCGCCATCACGCAGAGGTTCTGGTGGCCGTCCATGGAGCCGGAGGTCCGGGAGTACGTTGATCCATACGTTGAGGCATGTTCCATCTGTGCCAGAAACAAGAACTCCTCCAGAAACCGTGCAGGCTTGCTGCAGCCGCTGCCCATTCCGTCCCGGCCGTGGGCAGAAATCTCTATGGACTTTGTCACAGGGCTCTCCTAAGGTAATACCACGGTTTTGACCATGGTGGCCCATTTTCTAGCCTTACTCAAGTTGCCGTCAGCTAAAGAGATGTCGGTGATAATGATTAACAATGTATTTAGGATCCATGGATTCCCCCAAGACATTGTGTCGGTTCGGGGGCCCCAATTTGTCTCACAGTTCTGGAAGGAGTTCTAGAAGCTCATCGGAGCCACCGCTAGCCTCACATCTGGGTACCATCCGGAGGCCAACGGCCAGACGGAGCGCCTCAATCAACAGCTGGAAACCGGCCTTCGGTGCTTGGTGGCCCAGAATCCTGGGTCATGGAGCAAACACCTGACAACTCCCTTCCCTACCAACCCCCTGTTTTTTCCAAGTCCGAACCAGAGGTTTCTGTGCCCTCCGCCCACGCCTTAGCGGCGTGCTGCCGCCGCATCTGGGCGGCAACACGCCAGACACTAATCCGACAGGGGGACAGAGTAAAAAGAGAAGCAGACTGCAGGAGGAGACCGGCACCGGTATATCAGCCCGGCCAGCGAGTATGGCTCGCGGCCAAGGAACTACCCATACAGGTAGAATCATAAAAGCTGGCGCCACGTTTTGTCGACCCGTTCCCCATCTCTGGGATCGTCAACCCAGCAGCTGTGCGCCTCCGCCTGCCCCGGTCCCTCAGGTTTTGAGGGCCACCTTGTCCTTAGTTGGCCTTGTGCCGTTTACAGATCCACAGCTCCTCAATTTAGCTTAGAGCCTTTTTTGATTGATTTTTTTGTTAATTCCTCTGTAAGAGATTTTGGTTTTTCTTTTGTTAACTATTCAGCTCGCTTAATTTTTCCAGAGCATTTCCCCGTTCATCTCTCTTCGGAGAAGTTTTTTGTTCCCAGGGACTTCCCTGTGTTTTTTAAAAACGTCAGCTGAACCTCAACTCTGCGTCCGAGTCCTCAGACAAGAGCTCCCCTCGTGACACGTTTGTTACTAGACTGGATTACTGTA